TCAGCCCGCACAGACGCCGGGGGGCCAGCCGGACTACACCAAGGCCTGGGAGGAGTACTACAAGAAGATGGGTGAGACTGCCAAAGAATGCCAGCTGTCAAGCAAATAATCAACAGAAAAAGTCACTTGCAGTAGTGACACAAGATAAAAGCACAAAGCATATGAACAAACCATAGTGTACTGATTTAGCAGTTGCTGTTCTTGTTTTGTGAATTGTGACACTTTTTTGGGGGGGGGCTGTTTGTCCTTCCCCCGCTGCTGAAAAAAATCCTTGAGGAAACACTGAAGATTTAATAGTTTTTTCTATGAAAACACCCACAATTTCAATTTGTGGTTAAGTTAACTATTGCTCGTCTTAAAGTCAACGTGAGTGTAGTGGTGAGCTGGGCCGTGTCTCTTTGTCTGTCACCTCCAGCCCAGACAGGTGGTTCTGTCCCTGGGACAGCAGCTGCAGCCCCAGTAGCAGCAGGGGGAGCAGCATCCACAACTGGGGGCCAGCCGGACTACAGCGCAGCCTGGGCGGAGTACTACAGGCAGCAGGCTGCATACTACGGACAGGCCCCCGGACAGCCAGCCACTCCCCAGCAAGGACAGGTTTGTATAGAGGCTACAGCGAGGTTTTCATCATGGTTCTGTGTCTGCTGTGTCCATTTCATCTGTCTGAAAGTAATACATTTTACAATTTATAGTAAGGTCTGTGGACAAAGGATGTGCTTCTTCTCAACTGTTTGTATTTTAGACGCAGTGAGAGGTCATGGCAGAAGGTCTCTGATGCCGAGAGAATCGGGACATCAGGATGAAGATGGCCCTGAACTTAAGGCCAGACTCTAGCCTGTTAAGATTTTGGTTCTTTTAATTATTATTTCTTGCGAGAGGAAATGAAACTCTTTCACACCACCTGGATACTTTTTAATAAAAATGTGAACTGAACACACGTTCTAGTGCTTTGCTGTGGGAGAAGGGGAGGGAGAAGACTGATAATCCTGTCACGACAGGTACACGGCTTCTCAATGCCTCAAAATACATTTATATATGCCAGTATGAACATGGAAGCCTTGAAGTGCTTACTTCAATGCGGAGGAGTCTCAGTTGCCAATAAATCTATCTCATCTTCTTTTTATTAACTTAAGTCTTCTAAATCCCATTTTTAAAACACTTAACCGTCATGCACCTGTGTGATATTAACTGAATTGCACAGAGCCATTAAGACTATAATCACAATGTGTATCTGGTACTAGTAATACATCAAAGAAATCTATTTTAAAGCTCATTTGATTTGCTCAGTGTTTAGATTTTTTTTAATTGTTACATTTCCCTCTGCTGAGGCTTGCATGGTGTTTCAAGATTTTGCATATGAATTTGTTCACTCAGTATTTTGTACGAGTGGGCCATTTTGACAAATGGAACTGTACAGCGTTGGTTCATACATGTGGGATGACTAATAACTGTTGAAAGCTGCTAGAGGTAGATGATGAAACACTAAAGCACCTAACAAAGAGCGGGGACGCCCTCCCCTGCAGAAGAGCTTCAGTCGGCCTTCTGCTTGTGACATGCAAGTCTTGAACTGTGTAATGACAGGAAAGTATTCTCCCAAGAGGCAAAGCCATTAATTGTTTGAGATGAAGGTGGGAATCTAGTTTTGCACCCTGATATGTGGTTTATGTTAAAATTGTTTAATTATGAAGTCTTGGACCTCATCCTAGAGTTCCTGAAGGTTAAAAGAGTTTCTTTAAATTGCTCACAGGTTGCAGAGTTTATTCACCTTACACCAAGTTATGCATCTTTGACTTGGCCTTGGATACAAGTGGCTTTAGATGAACAGTCCTGCCATAAAAATCAGGGTGAGGATCACTATATAGAGCAGTGTGTTTGGTTTATGATGCCCCATTTTATTTTGTTTATTTGTCGTACACCCATGTGTTAAAATGTCTGGGGGTTTTTTTTTAGAGCTTTTTTTTGTGTGCTGAAAACAGAGCTTACTGAAGAAGGAGAGCTCAAATAGAAAGGAAAAGATGCTTTTATTAAAATAGGACTGGCTTAGTGTAAACAATCCTAGTTATCTCATATTGCGATTGTCAGACCTCCTTAAAGCTAACACACACTGATAGGGCGGCATTCACAGTCACGCAGTGACTTTAAAGTAAAGTGACTTTCGTGAGGAGGTTCTGTCACCCTCTATAGTTCGTACAGCTGCAGGGTAACATGTCATGTAAGGCCACGTTCAAACTCTGCATATGAACATGCTGTGATTTTGTTTCATCTCAAGTTTGCATGTTATGGCTTTTTACTTTATATATGTTGGTTTTTATGGATGCCAAGAAGAATCTGTTGATATTTTCTCTTCCCAAAGCCATTGTTTGTGTGTAAACTTAGTCTTCCAATGTGTCCCACTTTAAGATATATTGTATATGTACATATATTCAGCAATATAAGGCTGTTGGTTTTGACTTAAAGAGATGTATCAGGTATGATTCTTGTATGAATGGCAGCTGTTAGCCTGCCTTTGGCAGCAGTGTTGATAATTGTTAATAGATGACCACCAGCAGCAATACTCTGAATTAAAAAGGGGCATAAGTCAATTACTTTCAAATGTGTGTCGACAGTTTGTTGTCTTTCATGTTTGCTATGTACACGAAATAGCCGTCTGGCTCAAGATATTATAAAAGCTCTGAGATAAATCACCACTAGATGTCACTATTACTCAGACTAGTGCAAAGATTAAACCCCGTCAGTGAGAGTGAAAAATATTTTTTAGGAAGTTTTTTTTAAACTATTAACTGCATCTACACTTGCGATGTGTCTGCTAGATTAAGGCACAGCTGTCTGAATGTGGCATAGACATTTGAACTCAAACCTCGGAAACCTCAGAATAGAGACTGAATGTCTTTGCGGTTCCTGTTTCGGTGTATGTTCCAGTGTCATACTTTGTACACTACAGCAGAAGTGTGAGGAAGAACCAGAAAGTCACCGTCTGTTTATCAAACTTAAATTTAAGATAAGATTTTGGCTGCATGTCAGACAGACAACCCTTGTGTCTATAAACCACCAAGATTACATATACTGATGCACTGAGACGTGACTGAACTTATTGTTCAAAATGAATGTACAAGAGTGCAATTTTAAAAAGTCTTTAATTTATATCTTTAAAATTAAAAACATCTGAATGGCATTCTACCACCTCCAAAGGCACAGTCATACTTACAGCAGACCAAATTCATAAAACACTGCCACTGAACATCTTTTTTCTCATTTTGTTTTGTACATAAGAAACAATGCACTATAAAAATGACTAAACATTTTTCTTACTGGGTAAACAATGGCCATTCTCAATGCTGTAGATCAATGAAAGACTGGAGTGATATGTACTCAGCTGTGGTAGTATTAGACTCCATATAAAGGATTATGTGCTGGTTCGAGGCTGCCAATGCCTGTTGAAAACATGCACATCACAGCTATTTTAAAGACATTGAATTTGAAAATCCAAAAAATGATATGTTTACAACAACCAATCTTGATGAACAGTGTTTAAGAATATGGATGTTTGAAGCAAAACAAAGCCATTGGCAGGAGGGCGGAAACGCAGTGAGATGACAGCACAGTGGAGGGAGATGAGTGTCGGTGGAGGACTGTGCAGGAAGAGCCATCAGATCTCGCACCTCACCAAATTCTCTGAATCACACCGAGTGGTACGAGGTGTTCGCACGAAATCTGACACCTGCACTCAACCATTAAAAATACACCTAAGACTTCAAAGAAAATGACAAACATTTCAGATAACTCAGAGTCTTCAAGACAATAGTCAACATGTGCAAAGCGGCAGGGCCTTGGCCTGTTTGTGGAAAAGTCATCAAATGAGATAGGGTTGATAACTGAACGTACAATCACAAATCAATAATGCACACAAAGGTTGCTTAGAATGTGTGACAACACAGCACCATACACTGCACAAGAGGTTCACTTAGTGACAACAAAATTAAAAATAGAGGATAAATATACAGTAGAATATAAGTATATCACCGTTCTTACTCAGGCACAGTCCTCCTTAAAACATTTAAAGATAATTTAAAAACAATGGGATCCGGGATAAAAGCAAACAATTTTGGCACACAAGGAAAATATATTAAACTAAGGCAAGAAAATGATATGTCACAGGATAAATGAGGCCACAGAGGAACATATTAGATGGACAGGTATGAAGCACTTTGAACATAAAAGTATGACACATATAGTACCTCTCTCGTGGGAACCAGGTGTTCAATAAAAGAGAGAGGATTTTTTTTGCAGCAACTAACGTGAGCCCCAATTCCACAGCTGTAGCTTTATCTTTACAAGTATGTGTGTAGCAGCTGCGACAGGCACTCCAAGAACACAAGAAGATTTTCTTTACAGGCGAATAAAATCAAACAGGAAATCTGTACTCGTCTCCCAAATAAAAACCTGAATGCCTTGAAAAATATCTACAGAAGAAACAGTCCACACTTGGCATGACTCTCAATCACACAACCAAACCATATATATATATATATATATATATATATATATATATATATATATATATATATATATATATATATATATATATATATATATATATATATATATATATATATATATATATATATATATATATATATACACAATCATGGAAAAGTGGTGGGACTCTGTTTGTGTGTGTCTCTTCTGTATAAGTACCAAACAAGACAAACTCACCATAAGATCCCAAGCGCCTGCTGTCTTTAACAAATGTCTCTACCCCTCTGAAAGACACGGCTTTAACAGTATTTAATGAATAAGTAACTAAATGCAGCAGCCATTGACTGTTGAAGGTCCACTTTGCACCCTTCTCTGTATAAGTTACCCACACACACACCACAGTTTTTTCAAGACCACGTTAATACGGCAGTGACAGTTTTTAGGAGCATCTAGGGTGAGCAAAGGTTTCCCAGCAAGGAGACAGCGAGGCTACAGGTTGCAATGCAATGAGAGAGAGAGAGAGAGAGAAAGAAAAAAAAAAAACATGCCTGCTTTAGTTCATTTTTACAGATCAACACAACTGAGGGTTAAAATGCTTTGTGTTTCTCTTTGCATTGAGAAGGTTTCTGGAGCCACATCATATTGCAACAGCAATGACCGTGTATTAAACCAATGGGGCCAACAGGCAATTGTGTCATCCAGTCCAGGCAGCAGCAGTACTGAACGAGTATGTGTTTTGATTGTGTGTGGGAATCAAGTGGGACAGTTACAGTGTGCAGTGAGTGTTTGCACACACATGTAAAAGATCTATGTACATGTGTCAAGTGTATAAATGAGTGTTCTTTTCATCTGTGTGTGTGTGTGTGTGTGTGTGCGCGCGTGCGTGTGTGTGTGTGTGTGATCAATACAAGCAACCCACATCTAGTACAGTAATTGTGATTAGTTGTCAGCTGATCCGGTTGTGAAGAGGACCCTCTGATCAGTTCTGGCCAGCTTGGCAGGAGGCTCCAGAGACTCCTCCCCTAGCACACCTCCGTCTGAGGGAAGGGACAGCTCCTGACCTTCATCATCACTCTCCTCTTCCTCTTCCTCTTCCTCTTCTAGGATAGACATGGGTAGATGAGTTAGATACAAACAATTCTTGAAATATGACTATGGTTCGTCTGAGATACGGTAGAAACAGTGTTACCTTTGTCAGGATCCAGCTGGCTTAGACCCCGGCCTAAACTGGCAAACTAATGGCGAGAGGTGAATGTGTTAGAGCTGTAAATATGGCGTACATTATTAAGTTCATGTATGGGTGTGTTTGTATTGGTACCTCTCCCATGACAGCAATGGGGGTCTCTCCTTTAGCCTGGGCCACTCTGTGCTCTATCAGGTAGTACATGTACTCATCGTACAGCAGGCGGATCAGGTGAAAGGAACCAAAACTGGCTGCACTCCTCAGGGTCAGGTCCCTGATCACCATGGAACTGGAGAGCACAGATGGTGGGAATTAAGCCATCGGTTCACATAGTACAGTATGCTTCGTAACTTCTTCTCTAACCACAAATGGGAAGTATTTCTCAGTGGTTTCACTATGACAAAGTTCCAAGCATTACTGTTACTGTGGCCGTAGATGTTCTTTTTAAACCTCCTTTGCCCCGGTGGCACAGCAAGGGGAAAAAACTTTTTATAGACTGATCTAACATATCCTCAACAACTTTTCAAAATTGGCTCTTTCACAGACTTTCCTAGTTATCTCTTTCTGTGCAACTCACAGAAGCAGCAAAGACAACTTAAGCACAATGGAAATAAGGACATCCAAATTTTTCCCATCACACCTGTAAAAGGACCACTTGAGCAGGAAGAGCTTGGCAGCCTTAGGGAAGGCAGGGCTTTGCTGGTAGGGCTTTAGGACCTGGGAGACCACACCATCCAGCCACGCGGCCCACTGCTCCAGGGAGTTCTGCTGCTGGAGGGTCAGCTTGAAGTCCTGCTCCAGTCGCTGGACAACGCGGTCTTCACACCGGCACACCCATGAAGCCTGCTCCTGCAAAAGGTGGACAGGATGAGGGCAATGTGTCAGGGAGAGGCAGTCACACATGGCATTTAGTTGTACCAGTGGGAGGGAAGCGAGCCGACCTAATGTTTAGACACTAAATCACTACCAGGTGCAGGGTTCTGTATCTAACCATGTGCTCTACACAAACAAGGGGGCTTGGTTTCCATTTCCTGGATAGGAAAGTTGCAAAAAAGACAGAACGATTGGCACAGTGACTGAATAACAAATGAAACCTCTTTAAAACCACACGCTACAGTAGAAATAGTTGCACATGCACTAAAACCAATGCAAAATAAAACCACAAACACTGAAATTCGAGGGAGGTGACATGAATGCACAGCGTTCAGAGACTAAACCAACCTGGACGTTTGCAAAGTCGACACGGTTGAGGTCGGAGAGCATCTGATTGATCTGGGCTGTGTTCTGGAGGACAGCGCGTGCTGCCTGGGCGAGGTGGTTCAGACTGGTATAGCGACGCAGTGTCTGGGCAAATGCATTGGCTGATGTTACCTGAGAGAGCACAAGCAGAAAAAGATGAAAGGGCATCAAACACATTTTTGCATGAAGGCACACATACAGATATCTCTACAAATTTTTGTGCTACTTAGGGTCTACATGACCTTGTATAAGATTTAAGAACATAACATTGTCAGGATCACAAATCCTGGTGAAATAGTCCATTTACACTGTGAAAACACTTTTTATAAAGACAGTATGTGCAAGGAGACATGACGACAGGCCTCTAGCTACCATTGAGGACACGGAGGTCATGTCCTATATTTTCAGGGATTTGGGGGGTTTGGCCATCTGTTACGATGTGTAACTTTAAATTAGAGTGGAAATCGGCTATTGAAATATTTATCCATCAACTTAATAAAGTTGATGGATAAACTTTATAAAGCATGGACAACTTCATGAAGCAACTTTATTTAATCTGGGCCTCCTGCTTCAATATACTATCCTAGGAAATGCTGCTACATTTATTTTCACAAAAGCTGCACCACAGCTGGCAAATAATAGGACTGTATTTTAGTTCAAAATATTTCACCTAATAATTTCTAAGCTTGCAAACACTCACAAAGTTACAGTTGTGGAATGGCTGACCCTACAGGCCCTAAGAAACATGTTGTTCCACCAACTGCAAGCTAATACAAAAGGAAAGTACCTTAATGCGGACCATTTCCTCAGGGATGTTCATCATGGCATTGGTCAGCCAGCTCTCCAGGCTTTTGGCAAAATTGCGGATGGCTTGAGTTAAGGCACCTGGGGGCAGCATGAAAAAAGGGATAAGAGATTTTAACGACACAGCTGCTGAACATAGTTGCATTTCTGCTGGAGAAACAGATTTATTGGCCACATACATGCATATGCAAATTTCATATGTGATTCCAATTTAAATGAAAGACAAAGACGAAGAACATGGAAAACGTTTTGTGGCAGCAGTGCAGCAGGATGAAAAGAAAGATCCTTTTCTCCAAGCTGTGTTCAAAGAAATAAAATTGTCTGACTAAATTGAAACTGAAACAGAAAAACAGAAGTCTAAATTCCAGTTAAGTCAGTTTCCACTGAAGAGCATATGGAGCACAGTAAGAGAAAACTATGTGCTCTCCTACTACAGAGCAAATCAATCACTTTTAAGGTAAAAATATTGTGTACATGATATTTTGTTACCTGCATGTTAATCTCTGCACCATACTGTATTTGAAATAATGGTGTTTTACTACACAAGTATTCTTCTTGCAGAGCCTTACTGGGGATGGGCCTTAGGACATCAGGGATGAGGATCTCCACCAGGCCCTGGTACAGGCTGTTGTCACAGTCACGACTCCAGCGCAGCACTGGCTCATACTTGCACAGCAACACCAGGCAGGACTTAGGGAGACGCTTCTCTGACTCATCATGGCTGCCAATACACATACGGTTTTAATTACCTGCATCTTGTATACAATGGCACTGCTTCTGCAATAGGAGAATTGTTATTACCCCGTTTACGACATAAACAGAATTTTGAATGTTTGCCACTCACACAGCTAGCGTGGCATCTCCGGCCTGACTCTGGCTGAACCTCCAGAAGGTCTTCCACAGAGTTTCAACCAGGGTAAACTGCAGGTTGACCATCACATCTAGTATGGCCTGACAGGACACAGAGACTGCATCTTATACATCTATGACTGCTGCTAATACATGACTAAGCACATACAGATTATCAGAAGATCAATTGGACAGACATAAAGTGAGGAAAACGAGGTTTTTAAAAGGACATAACTTTTAATGTTGGCTGAGTACTTTTAAACCCATCTACTCACTCAGTTGTCTAACAACATTATTTTTCCTTCTTCCAGTAAAACCTTCAGTTACCATTGTCCTGCCCTTTAAGTTACAGTAGGTATTTCATTTAAAGTCTTCCACCGATGACTCGATACAAAAGGCAACCTCATCAATACTCATTAATATGGATGCCCGCCAGCTAACCAATGTGTTTTCAGTCGGTTACCTCACAGTGTTCTCTGTACAGCAGCTGAAAGCTCTTTATGTGCTCCAGCTCAATGCCCTCTGGCAGAGACTTCCCCTGGAGGTCGATGTCTGGGAACTCTGGAAGAGCTCTGGATGCATCTGGAACACAGGACACAAGACCAGTGGACACTCAAAGAAAGGTCACATTAAATGCAAAGTGTAATCAGTTTTAACTGTCAATAATATCATATTATATGTTGTAGGCATATTGTATTTTCACAAGAATGCCATCAGGCTCAAATCTTTAAGGTAAATCCCTTTCATACCTGTAGGCCTTAGTTCACTGAACTCACCTAGGAACTGCTGGTACTGCTGAACCTGGGTGCTGATGTCCACCTGCCCTGACCCCTGCTGCTGCTGCTGCTGGCCTGCTCCTGATGCTGTGCCATTGGTCATTCCCTCTACTTTATGCACAGGCTTCAACCTGATAGGAAAAGGGATACAGTACATAAGAAAACGTACATGAAACATTCAGGCCTACATAAAAGATGATGAACAATAAAGTGAAACAAAATGGCAATTATGTCTTATTATATAGCCGATAAAAAATAACATATAGTGTGAGAGTCAGTGATACAACTGTATAAAAGAAACAGACTCAGATAGAACATTTGAAAATAGATTTTCAAGCGAAACTGTTACAGTGGTGTAATGATAGAGGAAAGACTGTGAGTGTGTGTAGGGGTGTTTATGTGTGCACCTCTGTTTCTGTGAGAAGGGCTGCTGCCTCATGGCCAGATGTTGCTGGTCTTCCATCAGGCGGAGAAGAGAAGAGCCTGCCTTGATCCTCAGCCCGTAGTAGTGGTATTTAGAATTACCCCTGTTAGAACAGATGAAATATGTTTCTGTGTTCAAAATGGCAAATCTGTCTATATAAACATTTGGTAATTCCCTCAAACCTATATACATAGTCTCAATCCAGACTGGGTTAAAACATATATCTTTAATATCAAGAAATAAAATAACCAGACATACTGTATTTTTTTTCTAAACCCATATTACCAAATATTTCTAAAAAGTCAATCTCACTTGCTCACCCTCCCCTCCTGTGTGAAACTCACTCACCCACTCACATGCTGTCTGTCTTCATCTCTACCCACACTTCTTCCTACCGTAGGAGAACATTTTGCAAAGCTCCAAGGAGCTTTATAGGTCTTATGTGAGAAACTTTGCATTGGGTGTCCACTAATTGAGACCTATATGCATTCAGTGCATATGAAGAGGATGCCTGTGCTGCTGATGTGCATCACTGTGGTAGGGCAGAGATTGTGGGAGAAAGTGTTGTCTCTGCACTTCTCTCTCTCTCTCGGTATTTTGATCTCATGCATATAAAATCAGCACATTAGTCAATATATTAGTGTCAATATATTTAACCCTGTTTTGTCATAGAGGGAAGCTGTGTAAGAAAGGGGTATAAACGGACTGTGTGTATGTGCACCCTTATGTGTCTAGCATGTCTTCTGTAACAGTTTGATGTTTGATGACCTGTCTTACCGTGTGCCAAGGCGCCGTGTGCGTAGCCCCATGAACACAGATCTAATGAGTTTCCCGAAGGAGGCAGCATTAACAGGCTCTAGTTTCTGCTCCTGGCAGTGCAGCAGATAGTGGCAGTAGAGGGTGGAACGTGGCAGACTCACTCCTTCAGCTGTCTCATAGTTGTCCAGCAACCACTGTACCTGACACGCAGGCAAGGAAAAAAAAAGAAAATAGCTGGTGCAGTTAGCAAAGCCAATAGACCCAAACAGGAAACACACCTCGACATATAAGCACAAAAACATACTCGTGCTTATTTGCAAACACATTACCCACATTTCTCAGCTCAATATACAGTACATGCACACACATTTTTCTAATCAAGAAATTATTACAAACAAACAAATCCATTCACATTTACTGTTTGTTGATCATTTAGGAATGAAAACACAAATACGTTTGTTTGCGTGCCGTGGCATACAACTTTGGTATGCAATGAATTAATGACCTGGAATACTGATGGGATGTTTGCCAAACATAGGTCGGTTATCATTACCATATGGGGTTCATTATGATGAATTTGGGATGAACAATATAGTGTTGGGACATTTCAGGCAAATTAAAAAATGCCCCTCGTCACATGCACTGCAATGATATGAAAATGATGAGGTCATGGTTTTGTTTTCTTAGAAGAGGAAATCACAGTTAAAAATAGTGCATACTACAACAAGTTTTATTGTGATCTATACTAAAAGTATTATATCACCTGCAGCTAATACAAATCTCTGCATTTTTAATTGTGCTTTCCACTGGACAAAACTATGATGTCATCAGTGTGCGCCACCAAAGGGTTGTGGATGAGAACAAAACGAGAAGAAATTCCTGCGCTTGGCGCCTCTGCATACCTTCTTGTCTGCCGACGGCACGCTACTCTCCTCGCCCTCTGTAATACTCACAGTGGCTGGGGAAGCGCGGGCGGTGTGTGAGTAGTTCTGACTGTTGCCAGCTGTCCCTCCACTGCTGCTGCCCAGCATGTAACCCCCCTGGATCACATAGCTGCCTGCTGCGCCACCGTTGGTGCCTGCCCCTTCCCCTGCCCCATTGGTGGTGCCAGCAGTGGTCACCACAGTGGCCCCTCCCCCTGCTGCACTGGTGGGCTGGGCCACAAACATGGACACACCCCCTGTTGTGCCAGCAGTCACAGAGACCGTTAGAGGCGTACCAGGGGTGGAGGCCTGTGAGCCTGAGGTTGGCTGACCTTCATAATACTGGGCAGCAGTGGTCTGGGTGTACAGGGGTGTGTCAGTGTAAGGGAAGGCGCTGGAACGACTGGATGGAAGACATGAACAGGCGTGTTAGAAAGTGTTGGAGAAATGAAACTGTAAAAAGGTTCTGTCTGCACATGATGCTCAATGTTTTATTCTAACATGGTGCTGGTGGTGTAGTTGTTGTCTCCTCCTTCCACATACTGCACTTGATTGGTGTACACATGTTGCACTGGCACTGGTGTGAGCTGCTGCTGGACCTAAGGAGTGGGCGCACACACACATACAGACACACAAAAATCCAATAAATCCTTGCGCCCCAAGTTAGACCATATCAACTGTTTGATCGCCTGAGAATACATCTTTTTCGTGTTCAGTTTTGTTCAGTTTCTTTTGCAGTTATAACTTATATACATTTCTTTGCTACAGACAGATTCGTTTTCCTTCACTCCATACCATCCTCCCTTGTGTCCCTGACCTACTTGGAAAATGTCAGTTGTAGCCTGCAGTGGTGGCTGATGAGGTTGGTCTCCTATCTCTTTGTCCGCATGTACAGAGAGCAAGTACAGTGATTGGTAATACTGAAGGAGGTCCAAGGGGAGGTAGAGGGGATTGCCGCAACATTCTTGTATGTGGCCTGCTGATGCCCAGGCCGGGCACTCTGGCTTTCTTATCTCATGATGCAGCTGCCATTCTTCTAGATTGTTATCCCTGACTAACGCTGTCACCTCGGTGCTAGGGAAGAGCTGGAAGCCGACAGAGGCAGGTTCAACCACAGATGTGATTAGTTGACTAACACAAACCCAAAAAGTTTTGGATGTCACAAGTGATCTACTTTTGTGATGGAAGCTCTGCTGACATGTGTGTTTGTATTCCACAAATGTGTGTCGGTCAGTGACAGTACAAGTGATTGTCAGACATCATATTTGATCACCAATGATGAACTGTGTTACTGTGTTCTTGTTTTTAACTTACCTCTGGGCTGATATGAACAGGCTGTAGACTGGTGACACTGAGCTGGGTGCCTGGCTCAGTCTTGGCTATCTGAGAGGTGGCCTGCACCACGGACCTCTGCCGAGATAAAGATACTACATAGTTTTAAGAGTTTAGAAAACATTAATTTCATGTTGTGTTTGTGTGTACGTGCAAATTTTACCTGCTGAGCCGCCTGTACCTGCTGAACAACCTGTGTGGGAACCCCTGTCTGCACCACAGCTGGAGGGGGGCTGGAGTCTGACACACTGTCACTTGAATGAAGGGAGCCCTCTGAAAGACAAAGACGGTACTGTGAATACAGTGGAAACCTCTTATAATGAGGTGATAATTACATGGATATAAAGTAATGAAGCAGACAGAGAGAGCTTTGCCATCTACTGAATTTTTTTGACTTTCAGAATACAGTAGAGCTGTTTTCATACTATTTTCAAATTACTGTACATTCACTGTACTGTGTGTAATTCAAAGGCACTATATAGTAATACATTAATGTGCTGTATATAAAATACTTAATTTAGTTTATAATCATACTAAAGGCTAAAACAGTACTGTGCTGTTACAAATACAGTGAAATAGAACTGTGCAAATAGAACTGGCGATGGCTTCAGTGCATTTCTCAATTGTGAACAGGCCTGAAAATAAACTGCTAAGCTATCAATGCCAAACTGGTAGCAGAGTTTAAAAACAATATGTTGTCATGTAGGAGAAGACTCAAAATGAACACCAAGCAGACTACTTGATTACTAAAAACTTTAGGTAGCATTTCTACAGGAATGATTCAAACTTTTTGATCCATATAAGCTGCTGATCACTGTGAATTTGATCACTTAAAGCGTTTACCCCTGTATTTTCATTTGATTTAATTTAGCTGTATTGGCATGATTGTTTAGTCAAACAATGTTGCCAAAGCGCATAATTACATATAAACAATAAATACACATATAAATAATGAACAATAGGTTTCACATGTTGGTGACATTCTTTCACTTCCATAAAGTTATTGATATGCTGTCCTTTTGTAAGTGTACCACTCACCCATTCGACCATTCAGGCAAAGTCTCAAACTTACATAATAACAATATTTTAATAACAATTATTAAACAAGGAACTGTGTAGCGAGCCAACAAGCTAAAACTGTTTATTTTAATGTGAAAGAATATCTTAGTTCTTACAATCCATAAAAATGTTGCTTCTGTGCATGTATAACTGCAAAGCCCTGCACTGGCCTGGTCTCCATTAGTGCCATTGAGATATAATGGTATGTGATGTTCAGCCCTTACCTGTGACTGTGACAACGATGTACTGAGGAGTGCTTTGAGCATTTCCAGACTGTGTGGGAGAGCCCTGGATCTCTGCAGTCACATATTGTGTCTGAGCTGGCGGTGCCTGTGCTGTGGACTGGGCTTGACTACCAGCTGCAGGCTTCTGAGTGGTGATGGAGGTGGCTTGATCAGTAGGAGTAGTTTGACCTGTGGGTGTGACAACAGTGGGAGTGGCCACAGTAGTCTGAATCTCAGCTAGAAACTGAGTGGCGGTTGGAGGCGTTGAGCTGGCATCAGGTTGCCCCGGTGTGACGGTAACACCAGCCCCCTGGGGTTGGGCTGCTGGCTGGATCTCACCTACGTAGCCTGAGGTGGCCATAACAAGAGCTGGGAATCAGCCTAGAAAGTAGCAAAGTCATGCATTTTAGTAAAGAGATGCTCTGAAATCGTCTACTCAAATTCAAGTTTATTATCACAAGTAGAGTGAAATGCTAGTGCCCTGGCTCTCTCATACTTTGTGGTCATAAATAAATATAGACCTTCCATTCAATAACACATAACCATATACCCAGTGCACCAACATGTAACACTGCATACATACTATTTGCAAAAAGGGATCAGTGCATTTGTATGCGTCAGCTATTCAGCAGCCTGTCTGTCTGTGGAAAAAAACTGTTACTGAGATGGGTGGCGTGAGATTTGATCCTCAGGATTAATCCTGGAACTGTTTGTTTCCAGGCTGCATTTGGTTAGAATAACCTGATGTAATTTGATCATTCGAACCACTGTATACTCACTGAGGTACATACAGGGCAGGGGATAGAGATCTAGTAAGAGTTTTGCTAGATAAGAGGGATGCAATGAATCACAGCTTCTAGTAATATATTACTTTGATAATGTGTAACTGGCAGTACAGAGGTAATACTTAATATTTTTGTGACTAGACATGGACAACACTTAAGACATTATGTTAAAAGTGTAAGAAGAACATAATAATCAACATCAGATGCTGATGTGATCACTATACCGGCCTATTTGTTTCTAGTAACTTTAATCTGTGGTCAACAGTTCATTTCCTGGGGACATCAGGAATATTTCTGCATTCTCATTTGGTGCCTAGATGCGAATGAATGAGTAAGAGGAAAGTACTATTATGGCCTGTTGGTGGTGCAGCTAATGTGGAGAACGGTAGAGGACCATTGACAGGAACATGCATTTTGGTGTCTCATTACCTGTAATGTGATCTCACATCCTCTGCCATTCACATACAAAATTGTGCCTATAGCACAAGTTGGGAAAATCCCTTACCACGCTACACTAATATTGCAATGCAGACTTTTATGTTGTACACAGTTATGAGGAAATGACAGGTACACATTGTCCTAAATTTGTGATATTTTTAATTCAATATCCTAGATGCTGACTTATAAACTTCGTGCCTTTCTTCATCTTTGTTTAACGGACTATAAAAAAAGATAGGGCAGAGGAAATGGTTTACATCATACAAAACCAAATGAGTCGGTTTTAGTCCTGACGTTAATGGTCAGATGGCAACAAGAAACCCTATTAATATTCTACAAAGCTAACCCTAACCCTAAGCTGACCTGGGACCTTCAAAGCACCTGAAAATCGCTCTCCTCCGCCACGCCCATTAACATTAGATGTTAAATGTCCGCCACCTGCCCTAGCTTCTTCAACTTTCCACAATCGACAGACACGATTTTTCACTTGCATGTGCTTGTTACAACTCTGCCCTGCCTCAACAGTAACTTACAGCCAAAACTGTCAAAAGAACACTTTTAATTTGACTACCCTAATTTGTTCTCACGAATGGGGAGTAACGTTACACGGTACGTACTCCGGGACTTGGTGTTGCGTTGAGCCGGCAGCTGAAAAAACAAACACATAATGTCTTATTCCTCCGTATGATGCACGTAAATTATCGTTAAAAAAGACGAGTGCCCGTTACTGGTGAGCAGCAGCGAGCACACGTCTGTCGTGACAGCGCTGAAGCTAGCTATCTAGCAGAGATAACACGGGCAGCGAGCTAACTGGTCTCTACAACAACCGCCATTTTGTACCTTTTGCATTTGACATCGCCATAACAACGGCCTGCTTGAGTGTGCATCTGTGGCCGCGTCGTCATGGCAGGCACACTTCAGTATCACTTGCACAAACTACCCCACTTAAGAAACGACTGATTATCAGCACGACGGCTAGCTTGCAGGCTAACCTCAGCGAAGCACTTGGCTGTTATGGCTACTGACACAACAAGGTGAAAAGGCAACAGCACAATTCAGTTGAAGCATAATTGGACATAAAATAGTTCCTATATGTAAAGAGCTTCACCTCTGGTTCCACGTGTGTATTTCCCGCCGGTAAACTGTCTTCTTTTATTTTTATGGCGGATTCAGTTGTTGTTGTTGTTGATTCTTGTTGCTGGGCTCTTGTCGCCAGGGCTACCGTGGCTATGGCGCTTCGTCCTCACCAGGGCAACTGTTGCTACCCACCCGCTCCCTTCCCTCCCCCTTCTGTGCTCTGATTGGCTGAAAACTGCCAAATTGTCTTAAAGGCGCAGGAACAGCATTTTTTTTTTTTTACTACAAAGCCTTCCACGCCCATTTGTGGAACATCCCTGTCTATCATAGACATGGGTTCCATTTACACTGGGGATGCTGGAGACATGTCTAGGGTGACCATGTTTTGGTTTTCAAAAAAGAGGACAATTGGGGAAGGAGGCAGACCACATCCGCAGTGGGTGGAAGGTTGGGCCTGGGGGTGGATTTAAGTAATTGGTGATTAGTTTGTAAACCATGCACTAGTATATAACATTAATTCCAGTCAGCAGTTTAATTATGGTACACTGTTCTTATTCATTAAATCCAGTTCAAGAAAATTGCTCTACATGGTGGTTAGTCTCTAATGTGTTAATGCTAAGTGATAACTTCATTAATCATAACCATTAATGCAGAACAAGTTTAACATTTCGAAAGTTTGCTGCTGAATTGCTAGTGAAGGATGCACTTTTGGACATTGTACAGAATAAGTTAGACCCTCTCCAGTTTGCCTACAGGTCGGGCAGAGGCGTGAACTAGTGCAGCGGTGCAAATATCTTGGGACTGTGATCGACACTAAACTGGGCTTTGAGTCCCAGGCTGATGCTGTGTGTAAAAAAGCACATCAGCGCATGTACTTTTTTCGTAAGCTTCGCAGTTTTAATGTCGACACTGTTTTTATGAAAATATTTTATTCTGTTTTATTGAGTCAGTTCTCACTTTCTCTTTTATCTGCTGACACGGGTCACTTTCTATTAAACAGAAAAATAGCATGCAAGGTGTTGTGAAGGTATGCAGCAAAATTGCGGGCGCACCCTTAGATGACTTACATGACCTGTATAAGGTCAGATCCTTGAAGAAGGCGAGAGACATCCTGGCTGATCCGAGTCATCCCTTGTGGGTTGAATTTATGCTGCTGCCATCCGGGCGCAGATATAGTCTTCCGCGATGCAGAATGAATAGATTAAAAAGGTCATTCATCTCGGCTGTTATCCCCATTGTTAATAATAACCTGTAAATTCAATTTAAATGTTGTACTGTGGTTGTGTTTGTTTATTTTTTGTGTTTGAAACATGTATTTGTTACTGCTGTCTGTAAACCAAATTGCCCCTCGGGGATAATAAAGTAACCTTGAACTTTGAACCTTGAACCTTGTACTGCTCAGTGGCAAGAACAGCCTGGTAAGCATGCTTCAGGATCTTGGCCAGTCAGAAGACAGTGGGCTTTGGGGTGGAACCAGTCTATGGGTGGAACGTGGGGGTTTAAAGAGACAGGAGCATCTACAGCTTGTTTCAGACAGAGGCTGAAATGCGGGCCTGCATGAAGAGCCAGTATAAGATAGAAAATTATTTTTTTGAACTTTGAATCATGCAAAGCCACCATACAGGAATCACAGAACCACAATATATGGCTGGAAATGTAGTATAATAGGTCACCTTTAAGCTAAAAAAATACAAGCTACTGATTACTGTATTATATTTCCTTATATTTTTATATTTTGAATAGTTACCTGAATTTTGTGTTTCCCTTCATATAAATAAAGACATTTCCATGATAAATTGGTACAGAATGCAGGTTTAATTAAGTGTTTAAGGCTCGAAATCTTCGGGGGGAGGACCCCCAGACCCCCACTCATATATTTCAGCACTGATTATTTCTTCAAAATTGTGTTAAAATATCTTCTCGATTTGTTGTCATGACCTCAATAATGTGCATCGTCTCACATGTAATCTCAGCCTTTATGTCCCCACCACTTTTTAACACAAAGGGACCTTGATCATAGTCATTACATTTTTAACATTATAATGGATGCTATGCTATCCCTGGGGTCACAAGAACAAGATGAGATGAAACTGAGATTAAACTACTTTATGGTAACAAATAGTGATTTGATTCTAGTGACAGTTTAACTAAGTAGTCTTCCTTTACACTGTAGACACTCGCTTTATCTCACTTCATCAAGGTAGCTCCAGTACCAGTAAAAGTAAAGGAATAGTAGTAAAGAGGCTCATTACTGACTCTCGCCTGTCAACTCTTTTATATAATGGTAATGGATAAATCAAATACATCTGTTTACACATGTATTTCTGTGCTATATAAAGTGGGAACAGCCCAGTGAACAGGTACTCTTGCCATGGATAACCAGTTGGCAATCATCTAAGCCTAAATCACTTGTTATATTTTATTTTATAATAATGCAGCCGTCATAAAACAGAACATTAGAATAACAACAGCTTCTGTGTAGTGAAAAACAAAGTAATTTGTTAATTATTTCAAAATGATCTCTAAAAGTATACAGTATGTAGCACCAAATTATTATAGCCTGTTCATGGTTTATACACCACACATTTATAATAAAGCATGGGACATTTTCATATTGCTCCTGTGACCATGTGTCACTTCTGTGACACTGTGTTAATGAATGCCAAGGTGGACACCCTCCTAAAATGCCATTTTGTTTGCTTATCATCACATTAATTACAAATTCAGTATCTCTATTGTAATTTCCCAAACCAGCGACCTTTGACTATGTGGATACACAGATAAAAGTGTGTTTTATTTTTGTCTGACTTCTATGTTATCTGACTTTGAAAATGTCACTGGTCCTGCCTCAGTCCTACCAGTTCACCTTCTGGCAAACAGATGACAGTATAAGGGATTTTCAAGAGAAAGGGAAAATTATACATACAATAGTTATATAGGGTCTTATGTGGATTAAAAATGGCAAAACTGATCACAATGGCCTAAATATATCCTTATAGTGGTGTCAGTGAGTGTAAAATCCAATAAGGGGAATTCATGGCAACATGCGTAACAAGGCCTGAAAGGTTAATTTCATGTGTTCAGGCAATGTCCATTCATCATGTTCTTAGCATTTTTATTTTTGAAAGGAATGACTTAAGATGTTGCTCTATGTCTTGAGTGTCCCTATGGTGTATTCATTGGTGTCAGCTGCCAACTTGAAGATTCATTTTGTAATTAAAATATATTGTCTGATTTATTTATTTATTTTGCTTTGAGTAATTAATTTCACCCATAGAATATCCATGCATCCTCAACAATCTCAGTTAGGGACAAGAGACCATGATTTAGCCATTTATAGTGCCACAGTTAGTGAAGGAAATTGCCATGGCCATGGGAAACATAAAAATGGAGACAGAGTTGTAATTGGCCAGTATGCTATGAAGTTTTATTATGTCAGATAGCCTAGTCTCATACATTTCATGGTTGACATTATTAATGTCAGTATGCTCCTCACGTTAACCCTCACTACATGACCCATGATTATGGATTGTTTAACGTATTAAATGTGAGTGGGATCTGATGAAGTCATAATATTGACGGATATTAAAGTTGGCAAAAGTGCTTCTAATGCTGAAACACAATTCGATCATCGAGGCCTCTGACGTATTCGTGATTTATGCCACCTTTAGTCCGCTTTTTGTCTCCATAAAGGTCTCTGACTGTATCTCTCTTTCGAATCTGGTTTTCTCTGTGAGAAGGCCTGCAGACGCCGTGTGCATGCCTCCCATGCACGGCTCCAAAGCTCTTTATAAACCACGCCTGGGTCACCTAGAAAGTCATAGCTCTTGCAAACTAGGAGACGGAAAGCTAAGTGCTGCTCAAAGAGAATATTCTGTCTTTTAAACTATCTCTATTTTACTTGTTTTTCCTTCAGTACTATGTGGAAAGCTGTGGTACTGGCTGTGTGTCTGCTGGTTGCTGGGGTTCAGCCCATGGACAACCCAACATATGGGGTGAAGCTATGTGGCCGTGAGTTTATCCGGGCAGTCATCTTCACATGTGGAGGCTCACGATGGAGACGGTCAGTCAGGAGTGCAGGTGAGAGGCTGAAGGCGCCACATTTTCACCATTACTGACCTTGTAATGTGTCTTATCTATAATCACTTTTAGTGTTTCTTCTGGTGAACATGTATATTATTCCATCTACTGACTAAAACACACCCAGTCATTGTATGACCCACTCAAATATTTGATCCGATAATTCCTGTGGATCTCTGAATTGACTGTATGACCATGTTGTAGCACTTTTTCTGCTCATTTGTCATGATGGGATAGTCAATTGTGCAGAAAAGCATGGACGAATGATAAGAAAATTGTGCAGATTGACGGAGAATACAACTAATTACATATATATACTGAATGTTGTTTAGTATAGTTAGCCTTGTCAGTTTTACAGTATGGAAAATAAATGCAGGAATGCTAGAGCTATAATTCTCATTTACAATGTCATTAGATTTATTAGTAATGTTTGTTTTAACCCTGAAATAACTTATTTTTATGTCTGTAAACCAGGTATATTTTTGCATGTTCCCCAAGACGTCTGACACTAATTTCTTCATGCCATCTTCAGCAATTGTTTTTATGACAATACAGATAATGGACAAGGGCAGACTATTATTTTATCTCTGGGTGTAAGAGAAAAGAACAAGTATTCTCTAATGCTTCATTTGCCCATTTTACTGCCGCAGATGTTTCCGAGGACCTATTCAGCTCCCGCCAGGAGGAGTCCTCAGAGGGCTTGATTCACAACTCCGTTGTGGAGAGTTTCCTCCAAAGAAACATAGAGCCAAGCTTCACACCCAGAGACAACCCGGAGGGAGTGTTCAGCAGGCCGGCCCGTTCTTTCATCACAGAGGAGATCCTGGAAGCCCTTCGCAAGGCTGACCGCAAGGGCCGGGATGTGGTGGTGGGCCTTTCCAACGCCTGCTGCAAGTGGGGCTGCAGCAAGAGTGAGATCAGCTCCCTTTGCTAAGAGTTGACCTTTGCCATCTGAGTGAATACACACACACACACACACACACACACACACACACTGTATACACACACACACACACACACTGTATACATACAAAAACCCTGTTTTCCATTTTCTGTGAGTCTTATAGGTCATTTTATAGCCAGTGCCTTTCAGTTAAACTGCCACAAAATTAATTTTGTCATTATATTTTTCTTGTTTTATTTTTTAGTATATATGAAGTAGGAAAAGGGCTGCCATGTGTTCAAAATGTTTGTATATGTTTCTGTTAAAAATGTATTCTGGGCTATGTAATGAACAGCCTTACTTATTCATTCTTGGAAAGTTGTTTTGTGCTTCCCAACTACTATCATACACATTGTAATAAACTCTTTTCTTGTGTGCCTGAGAATTCAACAGAATAAAATGCTTTGTTAATCATTTGTCTAATCTTGTTTGTAAATTATAATTGTTGTGTAATAATTGCATGTGTTTGCTCTAAATGTGTGAAAGACTAAGAGAACCATATCATTGCCTTTTTAGGTACATGTTGAAAACTTCCTCATTTGCCAAGTCTTAAAAATAGTTCCACTTCAACTAAAATATGCCTATCCTGTCATACTGTCTATCACATTTGATACCCATACTTCCATAACAACATACTTTGAGACAGTGTCATTTTCAGTAGGCGAGTAGGCAAGTTAATATATTTAGCACATTTCAACAACAAGGCAATTCAAAGTGCTTTACATTAAACATAAAAGCTACATAGGGAAACACAAAAATAAATGTATATACTGTATATATACAATTAAAAAATAAAAACAAGACAAAACAGGAGAGTAAAAGTAATGGAAGAAAAACCTTTATTTAAGATATTTATAACAATTATGTCCTGCCCCCAGGCTGCCTGTTAAGGTCTCAGGCACTTCCTCTGTCCGGTCTCTGGCCATCTACCTGTGAGCACCAGATCCTTTCTTGCACCTCAGATCTGTGTTTGGGTCCACTCCCTTGTGTTTTCCTGTTCCACACTTGAATGAAATGTGACAATAATGAATTGACCATACTTTTTAGGTTCAAGGTTTTGAGGAACTACAAAGTTGATTTTGTGATGCCACTGTTAAAATTGAGGAGAGAATCAGAGAAAAATTGGGCTGATTTTAACCCTCGGAAGTCATATTTATTGAATAAGTATATCCTGGAGAGAAAATCTATGTAAAGGCATTGCCATTCCGTAACACATTAATTACTGGGGCAGAGTTACTAGGGTGGTCTACATTGTCATCATTTAAAGTGTTATTTTATAGTGTAAGGTTAAGATCACAGTGTTAAAACTCTATAGCACTGAGTGTGTGTGCTCCTCTCTGTGTCTAACTGCCCGGAGGCAGTAGCACGTGTGTGTGTGTGTGTGTGTGTAAGCAGGCACGTGTGCTATGGGAGCAGAGTGAGCACAGCAAGGCATCATAAAAAACCCCAGCAAAGGAAAATGTAGAAGCAGAATTAGTGAAAATTGTGTTACAAAACAGACATCAATATAGTAAGAATGTCCTGTCTATAGCACACAGAACAAAAGACACCAGTTTATTCCACAAAGTCAGGTTATGGTTAAAATAGCATGATCAGCAGAGGGCATGCCTAAGACACAGAGAGGGGGAGCATTGCAGACAAAAAACAGACCTCAGTCAAGAAACAGTCATCAGTGATTATCCTTAATCAGTATTAATAATCATTCTTAGTCATTTCAATCAGTCTTAATCATTTTTATTATCTTCAGTCAGTATCAGTATCAATAAGTAATCATTCTTAAATCGTCATTTTTAATCATTTTATCATTAATTAGTATTAATCATTAATCATTCTTAATCATTTTCTTTTTACCTAGATGTGCCTTGTTTTTTACTTATAAGTAGTGAACTGTGGTCATGAACACAGAAACAAGCTTACGTTAGATCCTTGAGTGGGAGGAATGACTGCAGGAAGAGCCTGCAGGTGTTTCGCCTTGTCCAACTGTCATCTACTGTACATTATGGCTATAGGAGAGGCTGCAGGTGTGCAAAATCTGCCATCGCTGTGACAGTGCATGCTTTGTTCTGCTGTTACGATTGCATGAGGAAACTGCTGATGTGTTAATCTGCTGATATTAAGACTATGTGCTTAATTACTGATTGAGGGGTTGATTGTCAACTTCCAACCTCTAGTTATTATAGCCAGTGTGAACCTTGAGTGAACTTGCTGAAGGAATTTTTGCTTAGCATTTTCACGACAGATAGTGGATGTGCATTTTTATGACAGATAGTGGATGTGCATTTTCATGATAAAGAGATGATAAGCAGAAAGCAGAAAACAGCCAACATGACATCAAGATTGCTGTAAGGAACCAAGCATTAATGCAAAATGCAACTTTACTTATGTTATTCTCATATTAATTGTTTAAAAAATATAATTGTGTGTCAAATTAAACATGCGTAACCTTTAAAAAATACGGTGAGACTGAAGTTGAGATGTAAATGGTGAACTTCTTATCCAGTAGTAAAAAGATGTAGAAAGTCAACAATACAGTGATAAATGACAGCTGGAGAACAGCGATAATTGGTAAAATAACACATGTAAACAGCAGAACTGCAGAGGAAAAGAAGTTCATCATGAGGAAAGGAGCGGGCAAACCAGCCCAGAGGGGGATATATAAGGCTGTCTGCAGACCTTAGGATTGACTTCATCCTCTGGCCTGCTGGGATGTTGTATGGGTTTATCTGTCCTGTATTGGAATAAACTCTTTTGCACCAACTCTTGACCGTCTCCAGAGAAGTTTTTCATTTCAAATTTATCGACTATTGTGGGAAATTAATAGAGTATTTTTTGACAAAGTTTATAAAGCTGGTAAAGGTGGGGAACAGGATTAACTGGCCCAGCCTGGTCGCACATCTGACCCAACATGATCAGTAGTTTTAGTTCACTGGATGGATACAGTGGATTTAAAATAGATTCATTTTGCTTTGGGAGTTATGAGAAATTTATATATTTAGTGCCTAGTGCTTAAAAAATAGTTCTTTTTGAATATATTTGTGAAATTGAGTTTCTATAAGATGTAGAATATGAGATGTTATTAATACATTTCTAATAGTTTTGCTTGGGATTTTGACTTCATTAAAGTCACACCCTCCAACAAAAAGTTGGAGACCAGGGGTGAAAGGAGTAGAATTTCCTTGTTGGCTCTTCCTCAATATGACATGACACAGCCACTATCAGCTACAGGAGTCATAAATCAAATAGCCTACTTTTCTCCATCCAGTGACTGTGTCCCGAACACGTGGACGTTCAGCAGCCAAGAGTGCAGAAAGCACAAGAGTTGTGAAAAATATTGACAGTGCGCACGTGATCACTGTACGTGCGTGTGTTCGCTTACGTCATTGGTAATTCCGAAATTGGGCGGGGCATCCCGGTAAACTGAAGCGGGCAATAGTCATTTCACAACAAACTTTTTAAACCGTGTTTTGCATCACTGCAGAATGCACGACAGAATCACAGTGTGTCTCGTCATGAGGTAAATAATGTATGGATCATCGCTATTGATAGTTAGAGAATATTGTAGGACAGAACAGCTTGCCATAATATGAGACAGGAAAATATTCAGAAACTGTAAAAGTTACGAGGTCCGGATATGGCTACTCTCTACTGTTCTCGCAGTGCTGTCATGTATTACTTTAAACCACTTATTTATTGAGTTATTTACTTTTGAGTGTGCATCTACAGGAAAATGTGTCTGGCACATAGGCTGTCGGTGTGTACGTTATTTATGCCAAAATGCTGTGCGTGTACAGTTAGGCTTTGTGTGTAACGTATTAACGACTCCACATGTTGGTGATTCATATTGCTCACAAATAGCCTAACTTCCATTTATTGCACAAAAACACCGTCAAAGTGCGTGGTTTAGAGGAATGTAGCAGTTACAAACTGTAGCTTTTAATGGTCGATACAGTGTGTGTGTGTGTGTGTGTTCTCCACAGGCACTAGAGGCCTGGGTCCAAATGTAATGGCCACATTTAGGACCAGATGGCTTCTGTCCATCTTGCTGGTCAACCTGTCGAATTATTTTTCTCTAGCAGGTAAGTTAGGCTTATGAAAGACATGTTACTCAAATACTGTAAAAGTTAAATTCTTCTTTTTTTAGGTTCCTATATTGTTGTTGTTTCTGTTGTTGTAATTGTATGGTTTTACTCCACTGCATTGGAGGTGAGTATTGCATTTCTTGGCTCCTCTACATTTATTCAACAGCTAAATATCACTGCTTACCTTGCTGGTTAAAAAGCAAAACAAAATACACAATCAGCTTGTAAGAAGTGATTTATTGTTAAAGAACAAAATAGATAGGCTACTTTCCCTACTAAGGTAGAATTTCATCCAGCTACAACATTCACATGGTGCTCACAGTTTAATGCAATATAAAGTTTATGTAAGCTTAAGTGTCACTATTTAAGTAAAATACATAAATACTTCATCCACCACTATAAAATTACCCTCGACAAAATACACAGTATATGTTTTCAAAACTAACTGTAATAAGAGCTGGGTGTTTTATGTGCAGCACATGTTCTGCTTCCGCTGAAGTTGTAACATCAAGCTTAACATTAAGCTTAATGAACACTTAAGGACACTTTGTGCTAAAATAAGAAGTTCACATGCCGATAGTTTGTAGACTGACCCCACAGGATTTTGCATTAGTGTCTGTATTCAAGAGGAAGTGGAAAAGATACACTCTTAACACCCAACCTCATTTCCTGTTAACGTTACTAACAGTGTGCTTCCCTGCAATGTGCTGTGTGCAGGCATCAAGTTGATCACCGCTAAAAGTGGATAGACTTACGAGAAGTGAGCAAAGGTGACTCGTGATAAATAGAAACAAATACGGGGGGTGAGCTTGCGGGTGTGGGCGGATAATACCATAAGTGAATGAGACTCTTATATACTGTGCCTATAGTCAGGTTTGTATGATTCGCTTTCTGGTTCCCTTTTCAATCTTAACTCTCATTTTTTCTTGATTTTAGAATTTCTAGCAGCAAAGGGTAGTTGTATCCACTAGTATCTGTTTGTTTTGTATAAATCTTTGGTAGAAGGTAGTTTTTGTGACTCATAATATCCTGGAGGTTTGCCTCATTGGATCAGTACCTTTGCTTGTTATGACTCATGGTGGTGGCGGTTTGGATTAAATATGTGCCACTGCCACTAACTTCACTGCTTTATTTACTTGATAGCGTGGCGATAGCCGTGGCTGTAAAAGGCATTGTGTTTTCGGGCTGTGCTACGTCCCATTCTCACAAACGTGATTTCTTCAGATTTGTCACAAACATTCACTTGGACTCAAGAATGAACTTATTAGAATCTGGTGGTCAAAGGGCACAGACCTCACAACACATTTTTGATCATAACGTAAGAATTAATTTGCTAATTATGACCACATTTCACCCAAATATATAATAGGATAAAATGACGAAGTGATGATATTTTATATCCAAAAGGGAAAAGGTCAACTTCACTATGACATCTTGACATTTGTATACATGAAACACTTTAAGGGAATTTCTTCAGATAGCCTTGCTAATTGTGACTAAGTGAGTTTCACCTACAGCTCATAGAGCGGCTACACATCTAAAACTGCCAAGAGAAAACAAAAGTACCACATTTTGTGTAGCTATACTCTATAACAATCTATCTTTACATAGTAATCGAGTACGTGTACCTGCCTAGCTAATACATCTATGATAGTCCTTCATTAATCAGTTAACAATGTATATCCACTGGAATCATAACAATATAGTGATAACTTTGTCAAAAAAAACACTTCATACCTTTTTATTCATTTATTTCCAAGTATTCAATACATATATGAGTCTTGACAGACATGATGTAAACTGCAACTTGACTGGTTGGCCAAGGCATTCTCGTTTTCCCACTAAATGATCTAATGGATCTGCATAGCCTATTGTTTTCAGAGAGTACATTAGACATATCTTCAGATGTCTTGGTTATACTACACTGCCAGTTGATTTGGGGCACCTACCTAAAACTAACACAGCCTGAAATTTTTTTTGTTACAGATTTTTGTGCAGATAATCACTTTGGTTGTATCCCTTATTCCCTTTGTTTCTCCAGGTCCTCCTGTTCCTCCCTCTCGCCCTAAGTGCTATATCCCATTTGATGAGAAAACCGATTCGGTAGATATCAACTGTTCTTGGGAGACGAGGCCAGACCCTCAGATCCCAACTAACTACAGTCTGCACTGGGAGCCAGCAAATACAGAGTAAACACAACCAAAAATATTCCTTGTGTTAGTCATCTGACAATGAAGATAATTATCTGCTAACCCTGGGAGATGCCTTTTGAATTACTTTTACTCGTCTTGTCTTGTCCTCCAGGGAGGGACATGGGATCAGTGGGACCAGTATGAATGGTTTAATCCATCGTGAACTCTTTTCCAACCATGGAGAGCTTCGTGTTTGGGTCCAGGCGAAGAACCAGCACGGCTCTGCCAAATCTGAGGAAGCTGTGTTCAATCCAGCAGATATCAGTGAGTCAGTCCGGCACATTCTCGTTCATGAATACAGCCGCCACCAACAATAACACTAATAGTAGAAGTAGGCTACTTTATGCCAATCAAAATAACTGACTTGTAATTTATCTTAAAATTATTATATAATTATTATATTTCACTTTAAACTGTGTGTTTCCGTCCCTGTTTCTAGTGAAGCCGCCCCCTCCTAAAATCCACTTGAGCCATCAGGATACATTAGAGATTGAGTGGAGTCACCCCTGTGATCAGCTGCACCTTTCTGTGGGACCCTGCAGAGTCCAGTATCGGACTGAGGCAGATCAAGTCTGGTTTGAGGTGCATTTGGTTTAGTTTTGTCTTCCACTTTTCTTCCTCTCAAAACTCAAAGATAATGTTGCAAGATAACTGTATATTGTTGATTGACTAAAGCTTTGTCAACTGAATGCATTCCCAAGCTTGTTTTTTTTCTTTCTATGCAGGAGGAGGTCGGAATCTGGAGCAGCTATACATTTGATAGTCCGCAGCCCTGCACCGTTTATGAATTTCAAGTTAGTTGTGCCTGTGGCACAGGCTTGACAAGTGACTGGAGTGCAATCCTCAGAATACGAAGCACAGACACGGGTGAGTCCTTATTTGTGTTTTGAATTTGCAAAAGGCCGATAAATGTTTATTTTTCCTTCTGTTTGTTTTACTGTTTTTAACTGTTGAGTTGTAAAGCAAAGGAATAGATTGACAGTTTGGAAAATGTGCTCATTTGCTTTTTTGCAGACAATTAAAAAAGCAGAGGTGCTGATGGCCGTATTTTATTATCCTTAGGATAGAGTGGTTTCCCCTTGTTTACAGTTTTTGTGCTAAGCTAAGCTAAACAGCTTAGCCTTTACCATACAAACATGAGAACATCGATCTTCTCATTTATATCTTAGCAAGACAGCAAATAACTGTAATTCCCCAAATGTTGAACAATTCCTTTAAGTCAACACATGACCACAATTACATTCTTCACTATATAATCTTAGTTTCAGTAGGTGCAGTATGGTGACAGTAATTCTGCAAAGATGAAACAAAATACACTTACTCTAATACTCTTAGTCTAATCTAATTTACCCCAACAGTGTTTTCTCCCCCACTCAACAAAATAACCATTTTCTCTGCTAAAACCGAGTTCCACAAACAGGCACTGGGTTCTGATTTTGCCATAATCTCTCTTGTTTTCTCTCCTTCTTGTTGTCTTTTTCCCTCTCTTGTTCAGCCCCTGTGGGGCTGGATATATGGCAGGACTGTGGGACATTCCCTGCAAGCTTCGACTGTGTTCTGATCTGGAAGGTAGGTAAACAAATTACCCACAATAATTATTCTCTGATCAAAATAATGAACCAGAGTCCCACGTAATGAAAACTCATCCCTCACTATCCTCTCCTTTTCTTCTTCACATCCAGAATCTTTCTGTATCTCAGGCTTGCTATTTCATTCTGGGATATGAAGTCATTCTGTCTTACAAAAACGGCACTGCCATGTTGGTGAATGTGTCCGCAACTGAGCCAAGGGGCCAGTTGGTGTGTGATGAAATGCAATGCCAGTTTACTTCCTCTCTAAAGGATGTATCATCAGTCAGTCTATCAGCCTACAACGCCCATGGTACCACAGTGCCTTCTTACCTCGCTACTCCAATACAAGGTATCAATTGCCCAGGCTGCCATAAAAGTATGAAAAATCTATAAGTTAATAGTTATAGTTGAGGTATACATGTCTGATTAAATTCTCTAATCCTTCTTTTATATTTCTCTGTTTCCTGTGGCTCAGCAGAACTAACAAAATGTTTCTCACTTGCAAAGATATAGAGAAAAATGAGCAAGATCTTCACCTCAAGATGGATGAAGAGTACCTCACTGTGTCCTGGGATCTGCCCTCTCAGCTCTCTGACAACCTGAAGGAATATGTGGTACAATACAAACAAGCAGGGTATCCTCCGGGCCAAGGATTTGATTGGATTAAAGTGAACAAAAGCCAAACAACAGGGATATTTAAAGGTCTGTTTGATATGGATACTTTCATATTAATACCAGAGGGAATTGGAAAAGAGGGGCAGCAGTGGTTAGCACTGTCGCCTCACAGGAAGAAGGTTGTTGGTTCGAACCCCTGAAGATTACTTAGACAGCGGCCTACGTATTTCAAACATCTGAATGAGCAACCCCAGAAAGTGTTAGAGAACCTTCATTTAAAGGAACCTTCACTAACTAACTGACTAATCACTGATTACATTTTCATCTTGAAGAGCGAATTCTTAAAAAGCACAAGGACTTGTTAGAGATGTGTTTTACTTGACTGTTTTCAAAATGGCTGTCTTACACTGATGTGTGTCTCCACCTACAGGTCACTTTAAAAAGTACATACCCTACCAAGTGTCACTGTTCACAGTGTCTAACAGCAGTAAATGCCGTCACCTTTCATCTGCTATTGGATATTCTCTTCAAGGAAGTAAGTATTTATGTATTGTTCTTTACTTCTTTTAGGTAATTTTGACCTCTCATCTCTCCTCATATCAAATGGAAGACAAACTTATCCTCTTTTCCCTTTCTCAATCACTTTTCAGCCCCATCCGGAGTGCCGTCTTTTAAAGTGTATTCCATTGCTGCCACTAGTGTGACCCTACAGTGGGAGCCTGTTCCCCTCTTAAAGCAGAATGGGGTGATCCTGTACTACCAAATAGGAGTAGACAGACAAAATGGTACATATCAACAACAACATATAATACAGTTGCAGTAATTAGGAAAGGAAACGTAGGAGACCCAAGGGAATTTTGCAAAGATTGTGTTATAAAAATAGATCAGATATATTTGTCAGTAGATCATTTTTAGCCACGTTAGCGGCAAGGCTCTATGGATGACTATCAGATGGCGATGCCCTGAACTTTTCACTAGAGCATCACCAACAATCTCTATCTCAACAACCCTTTAATGTTTTGGCTGTAAATTTGTTAAAGATTTTAGCGTCACTTTTAAGCTTCACATATGTGGCCTTAAGTAAAATGTCTCAACTATGGTATGGATAGCCATGGAATGTGGTACACACATTCATGCCCCCTTTAGGATAAGTTGTATTAACTTAAGTAAAAACTTAAAAAAATTTTTTTATCTAACACCATCATCAGGTCAGATTTTGAAATTGTCCAGTTCTTTGGTTAATGACTAAATACCTGCAAAACCAATGACATTACCATCAGCCTCAGCTGCACTTGTATTTAGTGCTGGTTAGCAAATGTTAGCATGCTAACATGCTAAACTAAAGTGATGAAAATGCTAAACATTATACCTGCTTCACATCAGCATGTGAGTTTTGTCATTGTGAGCATGTTAGCATGTTGACAATATTTAGCTCAAAGCATCACTGTGCCCAAGTACAGCTTCACCGAGCTGCTAGCATGACTGTATACTCTTAGTTCAATTACCTTTCATATTTCGCTACAAAATCAAAATGTATGTGTAAAACAAGGTAGTAATTAGCTAAATAAATTAATACTATAGTTAGCTTTTTTGTCTCTGTCAGCTATTCTCTGATTACTCATTCCAAACTACTTGCCTCTCCTAGTGTACAATGTGAGTGCATCCCCTCAGCATGAAAATAGGACGTTTGAGCTTCCGCGACTCAGTCCGGGACAAGAGTATGAGGTGTGGATAAGAGCTGTAACTGTCGCCGGGCCTGGAGCAAATGCCACCACAAGCTTCAAAACCAAGCACCGTGAAGATTTTGGTATTGCATCACATCTTAACAGCTTTTTTTGTTGCATGTGAGGAGCTTAGGATCAGCTGTATGACAGAGGTTTTCAGAGGTGTAATTTGATATTTATTACAACATAATAGATGGAATAATCATTCCAGGCTCAATTAGTTAATCTCTCTTATCTGATTTCTCTTTCTCTCTCTTTTTTAGACAACTTAATACTAACCCTGCTTGGAATAATTATTCTGGTTTTAATATGCTGTTTTTTATACAGGTGAGAAAATCCTCTTTTACTCATGTTATATTTATGAAGGTATATTCTCCTATCTGTGTCGGATCTATAGACATTTGCATTTATTCATTTAGCTGACGCTTTTACTGCCTCTGGAGCAGCTAGGGGTTAAGTGTCTTGCGCAGGGACACATTGGTAGATGTGTCACAGTGGGGGATTGAATCTGGGTCTCTCACACCAAAGGCATGTTTCTTATCCACTGCGCTATCACCACCCTTAAGATATAGACATGGTACATTGGTATTGTTTTCCTTTTGTTGGTAAATACTTTGACTAGCACATAATTTGGTGTTATCCATTCTCAACTAATCTTTAATAACAGTGAGTAAAAAAAAATTATTCAGGATGAGGATGCTGAAACTGTTTGCATTGAGTAAGCATCAAAAAAGATATTAAATTAAAATTCTCACCAATCTTGTCTCATAAAATGTGACCGTGAACATTGAAGCTAAGAATACATGAATGTAAATGTTTTTTTTTTTAAAAAGTAACCTTAAAGATTGTGGAGAGTTTATGTGATTGTGTGGGGTTTGTTGTGGGATTTTTTTTCACTCTTGTGTGTCTTCCAGTGTTTGTCGAGGAGAAAACAAAGTGTGTCCACTGGTGCATCCGTGTTTCAATGAGAAAGTGCCAGATCCTCGCAATAGCCATATTTTCAGACAGATGAAGCACCAGGTGAGAGACTGACCGAAACGATAGGACCACTTTTGTCTTCTGTGAGCCGTGGTCTAATCTTGGAACAGGGTTTACACAGATTGTTTATCCTTAGTAATGCCAGTATTTTGCTATTCCACTGTTAACTGCTTATCCTGTCTACAAGTGCATGCTCACTAATGTGGTCAAGTCATAGTTTGTTACTTTATATTACCAAAATGCAAAAAAAAAAAAAACTGTCTCTGTGTGATCTCTCTGTAGATTAATGACCCCTTGGCTTGGATCTGCATTCCTGTCTATGAGCCACATCCCAAGATCTCTCTGTTAGAGATTGTGGAAATCCAGCCCAGGGCTTTCAAGTCCTCCCTGGAGAAAACCTCAGACCCTGAGGGATTAACTAGGCTAGTGGTCGGCGATGGGTGCACACAGTTTGACTGCCAAGATGATCAGGGGGAGGATGCTGTCATAGCAGAGTGTCATAGGACAGACCACAGATTTGGGAGAGAGGAGTACAGCAAAATGATTGACTCTGATGAGGAGAGGGACAAGCAGCAGCAGGAGGAGGAGGAGGACACGGGAGATTGTTGGAGCTCATCAGAGGAAGAACCATTTCCTTCAGGTTACGAAAAGCACTTCATGCCCACAGCTTTGGAAGTACTGGAAGTTTGATGAAGTCTCCACGTTGCCTCATGGACATTAATCTCAGTTGTGTGTTGTGCAGGGGGGGAAAAGTTGAAATGTGATTTTAGATATTGATCCTCTGGACAGGCTTCTCTCTGCAGAAGCCTGGAGACCAGACTCAAATGATTGGATTTGTCTCCAATTGCAAATGACAGTCAGCCCTCTCTCTACCCTGGCTTCCACTAATGCATTTGTCATGTAAAACATGGATGTAGTGTTTGTGATGTCACCCATAGATTTCAGAAAAGGTGAAAGCCTCATTGTGGGTGCCTCCTGTCAGCCACGGCTGCTGCCATGCCAGAGGTGGAACTAAGGTGGGCTGAATAAAGCCTGGTTGCTGAATTACCTAGCTGCTAGCCACCTGAGAGGGCATGTCCTTAACTATGCATAACTTTAAGCCTTAATATTATTGACCAATTATACCATAGACCAAAAAATGTGTTGTACCAGGTTGTAAACATGTTCATTTCTGCTGTAAAGTTGGGCATTTTAACATGGGGGATTGTGGAGATTGACTCCCTTTTGGAGCTAGCCAGCTCCAAAAAGTGGCCTTTTGATGAATTGAGTTTTTTTGGACCTAATCCCAATCCTGCTGAAGTTATTAAATCCCAGAAGAGCTTGTGAATGTGTACATCTGTAAATCAGAAATGCCTCTATAACCTATAGATGGATTTAAAAACTATAAAGCTACAAGAACTGTTTTGAACCCACTGGATTTATATGTTAACAAATAAGGTGCTTTATTTTACATTGTTGCACCTTAAAATTAAATGCATAAGAAATTAAATGTACACTTGACATGTCATATATGATGCAAACAAAGTATTCCAATAAGGCCCTTGCCTCAGATTTTTTTTTTTAACTTATTGAAGTTAAAAGTTCACTTTAGTGATACAGCCATGCTGGTGAAATATTGTAGGCCTACAGTATGAATCAGCACAGTTCCAATACAATTGTCACAAAGCCGTAATAAAGTATTGCACCTAATAATAAAACACATAAAGCCACAATACATAACACGTCAATTTTATCCAACAGCATGTTACATATACAGAACAACACAACAGTGTCAGATAGTGAAGGTGCACATTGGATTCCTTACTAAAACACTAGGTGTTGAAATGCATTTATGAGATACACTCTTACAAAAGATGTACTGTAGGCTAACGTTACATCCTAGCAGTGATAAAAATTACACGATCATTCGAACACTTAAGCTAATAACATTTATAAAATGTCAAATTCCAACAAAAATAAAGGAAATTCATTACAAAATATGAATGTTTTTAATTGAACTTGTACGCCTTTCATTTGATAATAAAAACAAAATTACTAGAATTGAGGACATTTATCAAATTATTTATTTTTGTGCTTTATAGACAGTCAAATACCTGTGAAAACCTGTGATTTATAAATGTATGACTTACATCCTGCGATGCTACTTTGTAGGCCTAACGTTACTTTATTTTCACTGAACGGTCATTTTGTACTTAATTATTAACAATTAATTTCAAAATATGACCTGTAATCTCGCGTAGTTAGCGAAATGTGTACTGAACGGAAGCCGCCATAGGTCAATTTCAAATCGGCGTGCTCATTTGAACAAGAGGAACCGCTACGAAACACGGGAGAGGAGCGGCCCAGTACTGATAATTCAACTTTAAAGTCAATATTGTACGTACAGTATTGGTACGCTTGTACTCTGACAAACATTTCAGACATATTACATCGATCAGACCGCCTCATCGGGTAAGGTGTTGTGATAAAGCGAATATTAAAGCAATGCATTAGCCTGGCTAGTAAGTTAGCATTAGCGTTGTTAGTCAAACGTTACTGCTCAGGCGGCTTAGCGGCTAACGCCAGCTTGCAAAACGTGTTCACCAAGTTTGTACAGATTATTGGCTGCCGACGTTGTTACAACCGCGATGCCATACTTGTGTATCATGATGTTAGATTTTTCTTAAAGGATGAGTCGGTACATGGCTTCCTTTGGTTAGCAAATGCCGGTATTTGCCCGTTTTTTTTATGCCGGGCACATTGTGACCACCCATCCTGGAACTGCCCTGTCGACCAGGCCGTAGCAAGAAGGACAACTTTAGTAGCATCAGGTCAATTGTGTAACATTATAGGCAAGACAAATTGTGCGTAACAAACCGATAGGTTAGTCGATAATTGACGTTACTGGGGGAGTGAGCTAACCAGTGCGGTCAAATGTAACTAACGTTAGTTAACGTACACCACACGGACTGCTAGCTTGGACCGTGCAACGCGGCTCTGCTACAACAGCTAGCTGCAACTTGTTTCCTGACAACTTTTCTCGCACACTGACCAGCCGCACACGAGCCTTCAAGTAAATCGAGATTCTCGGGCCCACGTGCTGTGTACAGCAGTGTTGTACAGCAGTGTTGAAATTAAAACGAGAAATATAGAGAACACAGCGTTCCTGTAATTTGGATCAGTAGGCCGGGTGGCGGGGGGAGGATTAACTTGGAGCGGTGGTTAAGCCGGGTCACAGATTTTAGCTGGTCGTGTTGTCTAATGTCCTCGTTTTTGTGCCGCAAGCCGATTTCCAATTACAATTTTAGGTCTTAGCATGCTGGGATTCTCATGCCAGCCGCTGCTGCGTGTCGATTTTATCCCTTAAATGATCCCATACCCAACTCTAGGAGGCCCCTGTGCACCTTGAACCTACACCATGTGCACAACTTCCTACATATACCCCTCCGCTTATTTCCTTTCTTCCTCAAACGTTTTTTACATGGAGTGATTAGATAAAGTACTGTATACAGAGATGTATATGACTTGTCAGATTATTAAACAGGAGCTCTTTTTAGAAGTGTATTGCAGGCTCAAATTAGTTTGCATAGTGATTGCCAAAGACGTTTTAGACTTTAAAGAACATCCTTCACATGTGCATATGGACTTTGGAAATGATGCATCAAAAAACATCTGACTTCCTCTGATGGTGTTTGTATTCATACTGTCTGATCCAGAGACCACTTGCTTAGCTGTTTTTCCTTAGTTCTACTTAGTAGTCTATGTAAATTATTAGAATTCACTGGAAAACATGCATAGAACTCAATTTAAAATGTTAATTTATGTGCGTGTGTGTTTTTTCAGGATGGAGTGGCAGCCAGATGAGCAGGGACTTCAGCAGGTCCTCCAACTGCTCAAAGACTCACAGTCACCCAACACAGTCACGCAGAGAGCTGTCCAACAAGTATCCTACCAGTGCTGCAATGATTAATCAATTAGTTGTCAACTATCAGTTAACTGAATATATTTGGGGTTTGGACAAGACATTTGAGGACGATACCTTGGGCTTTGGGAATCACTGATAATATTTTTCACAATTTTCTGTCATTTTATAGAACAAACAATTGAAAAATCAAGAAAATAATTGTTAGTTGCAGCCCTATATCCTACTACAGTGTAATCATAGTAATGCTAGTTGATATTTTTACTGAATGGTGCCTCTCTAATGATATGCATGATTTTATGCTGGAGCCAAATGCAAAGGGATTTTTACCTGTGGTATGTTTACATTTTTTAATGTTTATATTTATTATCAAATTGGTGGTTGAGTGTTTTCCACACGGTGAGGTTTATTCTGTCATTGCCCAAAGTGAAGGGGTTGGACAGTTGTTCATATGCTGGTAACAAGCCTCCTTTATCTTATAGTTGAGTCAGCTGCAAAGCTGGGGATGTCCCCCTACCAAGTATGCAATTGCGCATTAATGCACTGGTGCAGACTTTTAAATCTCTTTATCCCCTTTTAACTGTATTTATGCACAGAATTGTTCTAAATAATGAATTACAAAAATATTTGTATATATATGTATTTGAGTGACCTACCCAAAAATATTGTATATGTGGAAAACACTGGTGATAGAGGAACGCATGTCCTTTATGTTCTTGAGAACTGTACACTTGTCAAACACATTACTTCGCACAGAGATCAAAGGCTGGTTACTCAAAGTGAAATGGTCCTTAACTGCCGTGCTAGAAACTTGAACAACTCAACCAGTTCCCTGACTTCAACAACTATCTCATCTTTGTCCTCACACGGCTCAAAACTGAAGGTGAGTAGCCAGATTGGTTTTCCCCTCTCTCAGCCATATATAACACACCCATATCATTGATCCACAATAATGAAAGTACCTCCTATATTCCCCATACATTTAAAACCTGCTTGTACTGCATGTCCCACTTGAACGTATAGTATATTGTGTATATAATAGTTAAAATACAAACATTTTAAATCAGGGCTTTGTTCATCTTTTATCCAGTATAGTAACAATATGAAAATGCACACAAACATAATTTGTTTGGTCGTTTCTCTCAACGTTTTGGTGCCTTTTTTTATTTTTTCTCTCCATCTTGTCAGACGAGCCAACTCGCTCTCTGAGCGGTCTGATACTGAAGAACAATGTTAAGGCCCACTACCAGAACTTCCCCCCAACTGTTGCTGACTTCATCAAGCAGGAATGTCTCAACAACATCGGTGATCCCTCACCACTCATCCGTGCCACCATTGGTGAGTTTGTATGTGTTGTATCAGCCAACCATCTACAAACCCAGTACACCCACTCCTCCCCTGCTCCCCTTCTGTCACCCTCTGGAGATGATGCATAATATCACCTGAGTGCCTGTGAAGGTATTTGTATTCATACTGTCTGATCCAGAGCTGCTGCTAAGGTAACTGCTTATTAGGGCTGTGCAATTAATCTTATTTTCAGTTATCACTTTGGCTTCTAACGATTATGCAAACAAAATTATCAAGATTAAATTAATATTGTGCTGCTATGTATTTTACAGTGATTTTGTTTTCCCTTTCTTTACGGCTGTGTGCGCTCGCCCCTCCCTAAAAGTCCAAACTCACTCTCAGCCTGGCTGTGGAGTGTTTAGTTCAGCTCAAGTTGAGATGACAGTGGTTTTAACTGCTGTAACTTGGTAATCACCATTATTAGCTTATTTTTACACTGCATAAATTAGCCTAGCGGCTAGCTTGCTCTCTAAGATGCTGTATAAATGTAATCATTTTGGATTACTATTATTTCATAGGCTATTTGGGATTTTTGTATTAATGCATATGTCCTGCTAATTATAAATCACTGTCATCTTCTGTCCCTCTCTTGTTCCTCTAGGCATCCTGATCACCACCATTGCCTCCAAGGGAGAGCTACAAACATGGCCCGAGCTGCTGCCCCAGCTCTGCAATTTGCTCAACTCGGAAGACTACAACACCTGCGAGGTTTGCGCGTACCCTGTGCTTCCCTTATTCTTTGGTCTTATTCGTGCTATAGAAAGTAGGGCTGTCACTTTCTTTAAAAAATACCCACACAGGTGATTTCACTTATTCTGGCTGATAAAATCGCTGCTCGAGTTGAATGTGGGCAGAGTTCTGGGAATTACATGAGCTCCCCAAACTTCAAGTGTAGATAAAAATGCATAGTTTGGACATGCACCTGTGTGGGTGGCCCATGGGAGTCTTATCGAGAAATATCAGAACTCCAAATAATAATGCTGCATGTGTTTTTTTTTTTTTTTTTTTTTTTTTTATATAATGTTGACATGTAAAAGGAGGAATCTGCATGATCTAGTGCATGATTTCTGTTTTGGATGTTTTTTGTTCATGCATTTGAATGTTTTGAAACGTCAAGTGACACTGTCTGAAACATCGGCAATTCTTTTTCAAAAGACACTTGGTAGAGCAGCAGTCTTCTTGAAAGGCAGAGTATCTTCAGTATGGAATTAGTGATGTGTTTATTTTGAATATAGGAAAGGCACAGGTGTAACGAAATTAATTATTGCTCTCTAGATGTGCTCATCAGCGTGCATATGCAATATGTGATCCCTGGATATGGCGCACCTTAATGGAAGATGGCCTGAAGTTATAAGGAAAATTCATTTTTTACATCACGAAATTGTATTAGTTGCGTCAATGTTTGACATATAAAATATCCACAGTGAGAAAATTTGACTGAGCAGTTTAAAATTATTTCTGTAAACATTCAGCTGAAACAAAGACTGCGCAGCACATTCAGTACTTTGGCTTCAGTCGTAATTTCTGATGCAGTGTCATTCTCTTCTCTGTGTCCCTGTTCGTTTGCGTTTTGATTTGACAGCCTCTCTGTGTATGTCCGTGTCTCAGGGCTCGTTTGGAGCACTGCAGAAGATCTGCGAGGACTCGTCGGAGCTGCTGGACAGCGACGCTCTGAACAGACCCCTCAACATTATGATACCCAAATTCCTTCAGTTCTTCAAACACTGCAGCCCCAAGATTAGGTACAGGAGAGAAAGGGGCTCATTTCTGATTAGTGTCTGGGCGTGATGCATAATATAGAACATCTGACTCACCATGAAGGTGTTTGTATTCATACTGTCTGATCCAGATATTCTAATCTTACTGTCCCTTTCCCCCTTACACTTACATACCACTTAAAAAGAGTTGCATTAAGATTCAATTAGAAATGTCTTTCTCTCTAAAATTTCCTTTTTTCACAAAAATTAGCACTTTGCAAGATGAGGTGTTGGCTGAAAGAGACCAAATGTTGCCGTTCATAAGTTGTTAAACTGGGACTTCATGTATTTTTAACGCACTCTCTTTCAACACTAACCCACCTCTCTGGTTGAGTCTACCGTTAACAAGTTACACTGGCTTGACCAAGTTTCCTGTCGTCCCTGCAGGTCCCATGCCATAGCCTGTGTGAATCAGTTCATCATTGGCAGAGCCCAGGCACTAATGGACAACATTGACACCTTCATAGAGGTAAGCTTGCTGTCTTTGAGTAGCAGACAAGAGAAAGTTGTGTCATTCCTCATTTTTGAAATTTGCTTTGTCCACCCATTATTTTTATTTCTTTTGTTTATTCCATCCTGCTGTTTTTGCCCTTTTAAAAAGTCAAAAGATTTCTTGTCATTCCTTCTCTCTCATACTAGAGCCTGTTTGCGCTGGCAGCAGATGAGGACTCTGAGGTTCGAAAGAATGTGTGCCGAGCACTGGTCATGTTACTGGAGGTCCGGATTGACCGCCTCATTCCCCACATGCACAGCATCATCCAGGTAAGTGTCGTACAACTGTCCAATCAGCTGTGGACCTCTTGGATGTCCACGTAATTTGACGTGTGAAAACAATTTGACCACGACTCCACTCATGTTGCATCTGGAAATGATGACAAACCCAGCTCATTGATTTACGATGATACCTATAGTTCCTATTGTTTCTGATCCAGATTTGCCAAGGCTATGTGCTAGACTCAGTTACATAAGTGTTTTTCTCAGTCCCAGCTCATTCTTTTTTGATGTGTCAGCTCACACTTCCTAGTCTCAACACATACTTTTCTCATCTCCTGCAGTACATGCTTCAGAGAACACAGGACCCTGATGAGAACGTGGCTCTGGAGGCCTGTGAGTTTTGGTTGACTTTAGCAGAGCAGCCCATCTGTAAGGAGATGCTGTCTGGACACCTGGTGCAGTGAGTAGCATATTAACTGCTGTTAATGCTATGTGTGTTCTGGGTCAATTACCAAAAAAGATAACCATGAACCTCCATTGATATATGCCTCTGTGATTGTCTTTTTTTTATTATACTGTGAAAGATTTGGTTATCACAATAAAAATTTTACTTTTGTTCTCTCTGGGTTTTACTGAATAGCATTTCATACAGAATCAATGCCTTCTTATCCCCTTATGAGGGATTATGTTTGACCAAGCAGGTCTCCTCCTTTTCTCCCTTTAATATAGACTGACACCTATCTTGGTAAATGGGATGAAGTATTCAGAGATTGACATCATACTATTAAAGGTGAGTTATCTGTGTTCTTATGTTTTACAATAGTGCTGATGGTCTGTCTGTCAAAAGTTACAGCTAACACAGGATAATGTTTTGGAAGTGGCCCAGGACTGTTTTTAAAAGTGTCTCAAAGTATGTATGATATAGCTCAAGTTAAACTTGTGTGTTTTTGTCCAGGGTGATGTGGAGGAGGATGAGGCAGTGCCAGATAGTGATCAGGACATCAAGCCTCGTTTCCACAAGTCGCGCACTGTCACCTTGCAGCACGAAGGAGGGGAGGGCGAGGAGGATGAGGACATAGAAGACGACGACGACGACGATGACGACACGCTGTCTGACTGGAACCTGCGTAAGTGATGGAGAAATGCAGTTACAGAGGCTTGCCAAAATGTTGAAGGGGCCATTCTGAAGGCTTAACAGGATGTTGTACATTTAGTCAGTCTTTTGATCTGAAGTGTGTGTGCGTGTGTGTATATGGATGGATGATGTCGGGTCTCCCGTAAAACAAACTACCAGCGGGTTGAGATTTAATAGATTGTAATTGGGCTTTTCTTTTTGCTGTAGGAAAGTGTTCAGCCGCAGCACTGGATGTTCTGGCCAACGTGTTCCGTGACGATCTGCTGCCCCACCTCCTGCCGCTCCTGAAAGGACTGCTCTTCCACCCTGACTGGGTCATCAAGGAGTCTGGCATCCTGGTGTTGGGGGCCATAGCTGAGGGTAATACTCACAGTAACTACAGATTTGTTGTCAGGGATCAGGGATGCCACGAGCTATCTGGAAATGATGAAAAACCCAGCTCATTGATTTACAATGATACCTATAGTTCCTATTGTTTCTGATCCAGATTTGCTAAAGGCTTGTGCAGACTACACGAATTTCAGCAGGAAATGATGCGAACCTACACAGGAAACAGCTGTTTGTTATTATAAAGATACCAATTATAAGGACAAAAAATATAGGTGAAAGAATGGATTAGCACATGCAGGTAGCAGGGATTGTCTGAGCTACAGAGAGTTGGAGGGGAGTAAATAGTGTTTTACAGTGGGGGGAAAAAATGGCTGCCTGCTCTCATTGGCTGGATGTCGAGTCAGCCAGCTCCTCCAGATATTTGAAATGCTAGATATCTGGCAGACGTCGGCGATGTGTCAGAAATGTGTTGGAGGAATTTTGATGCATCGTTGTGTAGTTCACACATAACAACTGACCCCTGATCACAGCCTGATGGTCGCTGAACTTGCTGAACTGCAAATTGGGCTAAAAATTGTGTAGTGTGAACTAGGCTATAGGCTCTTTTCTAGGCTGTTGTGCAATAGTGGTATTTTTCTCTCAATCCTCACTCATTGTTTGGTGTTGTCAGTTCAGTTTGCCCTTTTAAATTAGCTAACCTCATACTTGTAAAGCAACAATATGAAACGGCATGCTGAAAGTAGGTGAAATTTATTCATCTCCCACCTTTTACGAGGGGACAAAGTGCTTTAGAGTAATAAAAAGCATGATTAAACAATGAAACTTAATTAAATAATAACATAATTAATAATATTTTTACTCTAAATCATTAACTGCAGAAGAACTCTTAAAGGGAAAATCTGTGATTATTGTGCTTTTGTAACTTATCCTTTCCTCTTTTAATTTTCTCATTGGCTCCTCTCTCCATGCTTCAGGCTGCATGCAGGGCATGGTGCCCTACCTGCCGGAGCTGATCCCCCACCTCATCCAGTGTCTCTGTGACAAAAAGGCCCTGGTGCGCTCAATTGCCTGCTGGACCCTGAGTCGCTATGCACATTGGGTGGTGTCCCAGCCCCCAGACTCCTACCTCAAACCCCTTATGACAGAGCTCCTTAAACGCATCCTGGACGGCAACAAGAGGGTGCAGGAGGCGGCCTGCAGGTGAGCCGCTTCACACTCCTCCTTTGTATGTGAATATGATGAAAATCCCAGCTCATTGATCTGACAATGATAGACTTTGTTCCCATTTTGTTCTCTGATCCATACTCTGCATGTATCATTCTGTAACCGGAAGAACAATATATAAAGATGAAATATTAATTTGTCCTCATGCCGTCCATCCTAGTGCGTTTGCAACCCTGGAGGAGGAGGCGTGCACAGAGCTGGTGCCCTACCTGAGTTTTATTCTGGACACACTGGTGTTTGCTTTCGGGAAGTACCAGCACAAGAATCTCCTCATTCTCTACGATGCTATAGGAACTCTAGCAGACTCAGTTGGTCATCACCTCAATCAACCTGTAAGTGTTACCCTTTAAGATTGTTACCATTGGTCTAAGAGTGGTATGGATCTTTCAATATGATTGGGGGGGAAAAAGCAACACAGAAAATTGACTGACAAAATTAATTTGTTTTGTGTTGAAACCTTTTTAATCATACGTCTTGAGTTTAAAAAGTGGGGCAAACGTTGATTTTTACTCATTTATATTGTTTCTCAGGAGTACATTCAGAAGTTGATGCCCCCCCTTATTGCCAAGTGGAATGAGCTGAAGGACGAAGACAAGGATCTCTTCCCTCTACTAGAGGTAAGAAGTTGTTTGTTTTTATTTATTTTTTTATTCTTGCACTACAGGAGGCATGCTGACCCACACTGAGTTCAGATTATGAGCTTTTCCTGTATTGGCTCTTTCACACTGAAATGTCACAGAAAGGAATCTGAATACAGTGGTCACTGATGTAGGATTTTGACTGCTTTTTGTCATTTATTGGTGGGCGTACAACCCAAACATCAAATTGTGCATGTCTGTTTCTTCCAGTGTCTGTCGTCTGTAGCCACCGCCCTGCAGAGTGGGTTTCTACCTTACTGTGAGCCTGTCTATCAGCGCTGTGTTACACTAGTCCAGAAGACACTAGCTCAAGCTATGGTGAGAATGCAAACACGCACCCAAAATAAATGTCCTGTGTATTTATTCATCTTTTTTTCAGAGGCAAACAAACATTGAAACATGTCTGCTCTGTCTGTACAGATGTACAACCAACACCCAGACCAGTATGAGGCTCCTGACAAAGATTTCATGATTGTGGCTTTGGATCTGCTGAGTGGCCTGGCTGAGGGTTTGGGGGGTCATGTAGAACAGCTAGTGGCCCGATCTAACATCATGACCCTGCTTTTCCAGTGCATGCAGGTAAGGAGTGTGTGTGTGTTTAACTTTGCAAATGCAACCACACACAACATGTAACAGGGCAGTTTCATACATATTTACTGTACGTGTAACACTACGATGTCTGGTCTGTGTTGCCAGGATACTATGCCTGAGGTGAGGCAAAGCTCTTTTGCTCTTTTGGGTGATCTAACCAAGGCGTGCTTTCCACATGTTAAGCCCTGCATTGGTGAGTGTGCTTTATCAGAACCCTGACTGGCTGATTGTGATACTTGTTGTAGACACAAATGGTCCAATGTCTTAAATGAAAGGCTATACCAAACTGGAGGTTGTAAAGGAATTGTGTGTGTGTGTGTGAGAGAGAGATTGGATGTCAATCTGTTGGTGTTGTAACCAGTGTGTGTGTGTCCATGTCCTCCCTCCAGCTGAGTTCATGCCCATCCTGGGGCTCAACCTGAACCCAGAGTTTATCTCAGTGTGTAACAACGCTACCTGGGCCATTGGAGAGATCTCCATGCAAATGGGTGAGTGGGTTAGAAAGCAGGTTGCACTTACTGTTGATGCTTTTTCTGTTACCTTTTTTGGTTGCGTACACTGAAAACAAGGGTCCAGCATCTGGATATGATGAAACACCCAGCTCATTGATTCAAAATGATACATTTTGTTCCTATAATTTCTGATCCAGACATCGGACACCTCATGTTGGTCCGGGCTCTAGGTGGCACAGTTGAGTGCTTGGATGCACGTGTGTGTGTGTGTGTGTGTGTGTGTGTGTGTGTGTGTGTGTGTTTCAGTGAACAATTAAACCAATCACAGCCTTTGCCTTTCCGTTGCCATTAATTGTGGTTCTTGTGTGGCAGAACATTTTCCACAGTTCACTCCGGGCAGAGCAGTTGTCTAGTTGTAGAAAAGTTCAAATCTTTCTCAGAACCTAATGCAATTAGGACTTTGCCAAACTTTGCCTGATTGGAAAAGGGGGGAATTCAGTGTGCTGTTCCCCTTTGTCTGTCATTAACACTTGTGCACCGAAACCCTACCTCATTATGCTTGCGTACTGCGTGAGCGTGTGTGCGCGTGAATGCATGCCTGACACATGCCCATTGTGAAAGATCCAGTGACACTCTGTGTGATCTCCTTACAGGCACAAGTGTCAAGCAGCAAACAAGCAATCCTGGTGAGCGTGTCTTTTAGATCAGCCGCTGCAAAATCAAATGAGATTTTTCTTATAGAGATGTTGAGACTTGCCTCTTTTTTTGTGTCTTGAGATAAATTCAGACCTGTACTGGTCGGGAAGCCAACTTTAAGTGAAGGATGTTATAAAGAAGTTTTATTGCAACATGTATTTTTGTGTTTGCAAAAGGGTTTTAGTGGATACCAGTGAATTAAATCTAGTATCTGTTTTGCACTTCAGACAAAATATTGTGTTGAAATTCACGCGCTCAATAAAGGTGTACAAATGCACATTGATACTGTTATAGTATGAATGTCATGTTGCATAATAAATGCAGGGAAGCATTCTTACTATGTTTTACTATAAATAAACGACCATTGGAGCATTTCTCTAATTTCCATTTTTAGAAATTGAAAAAAGGACTTAAAAAATCTAAATTAAACTTTGACGTATACATTGATAGCAGCAATGGTTAGATCCCCCCCCCCCCCCGGCCATTAAGACTTCAACTTCTTGCTGTCACCAATGCAATAAAGTAATCTGCCATAGTTAAAACGTTTGTTTATTTCATGGGAGTTTTCTATTTGTTTTTCTTTGTGCTGCTCTTACTAGTTTAAAGTAGGCAAGGCTCAGCGTGTGCCCAATTATCATCAAAGTCAGAAGCATAACATTGTGACAACTGTCACCTTGACTCCTCCACCCTGCAGGTGGACCAGTTTCCTCAGACACTTGATGTTGTGCGCTCTCTCTGCTGTGTGTGTGTGTGTGTGTGTCTAGGTGCAGAGATGCAGCCATATGTGGGAATGGTTCTGCCACACCTGGTGGAGATCATCAATAGACCCAACACACCCAAGACTCTGCTGGAAAACACAGGTACACACACGGTCATACACTCTAAGCTGGGCTGTTTAAAATGTTGGAAAGCGTCCGATGTGGAATTGAGGAGAATTGTTTTTCTTGTCCCTGTGTGTGCAGCCATTACTATTGGCAGACTGGGTTACGTCTGTCCCCAGGAAGTGGCCCCACAGCTGCAGCAATTCATTAGACCATGGTGAGTCACACGTGAACATTATGTGGGTATCGTGAAATACCCAGCTTACTGATTTTAAATACGACACATTGTTTTTTATTTTTGGCCCTTATTGCACTATGTAGGAATTAACTTTCACCAGTTAAGAAAACTCTGGATATGATGAAACACCCAGCTCATTGACACAAAATGATACATTTTGTTCCTATATTTTCTGATCCAGATATAGCACACCTGTTGACTGCTTGCATGCAGGTTTACAAAACACAGACCCTTAGCAACTGAACTGATGAATCAATACAGTCCAATTTTTGTCTCCTCGTCATACCTTTTCTCAGGTGCACATCATTGAGGAATATCAGAGATAACGAGGAGAAGGATTCAGCCTTCCGGGGAATCTGTGTGATGATCGGCGTGAACCCTGCAGGGGTGGTGCAGGTGAGGTGATATTATCCGCTTTTCGACCAAAAGTACCAGGGACTTTAGTCCCCAGATCTCTTTTCAAGGAGCTAAAAGGTTCCTTCAGCTCTTTATTGTGTGCGTTTCCACCGTGGTCTTAAAACCTGCGAAGATTAGGCAAATTAACCAGCTGACGTAGGCTGAAGGCCTATACTGCGTACAAAGCGATGCACAGGCATCATTATTTGTAACCTCTATCCATGAGCAACATTTATAAATGAACATCAGATTTGATTGGAATATAATGAAAAACTAAAACTTTTTTTTGGGAGTATAAATGATAAAGTTAACCATTTAATAACAAACTGGACAAAACCATCAAGTTCTTAAAATAACTCCAGCACAGAGAAAGCAACACAAAAATAAAATCGACAGTTTGGAAGATTATTAAAGCATTTACAGCTGACGAGCAGCAGATCTGCTGGCAGCATCACGTCTTTTTAGCCTGAGCATCAGAGGAACCTGATGTTTAACGAGCTTAATTTCCTGCTGTAATCAGCTGTTCTGCTTGTTTTGGAGAAGAGGAGTCAGACTTCAGCTCTGTGTAAAAACTTTCTGACTGATGAAAACTTAACAAGAACTCTAGACCTCACTGTGTAATGAAGTAACGAGCCCTCTCTCTCCAGGACTTCATTTTCTTCTGTGATGCTGTGGCCTCCTGGGTCAACCCCAAGGATGACCTGAGAGACATGTTTTATAAGGTGAGTGCCTTATCACTGATCCCATCTCGTCAAACACATTGATCTGATTGATGGACCTAGTGAGCTGTGATTAAAGTGTTCCTTCCCCTCATGTAGTGCTAGCTCACCATACTCTATGATGATCACTATCAGACATTCGAAATCTGATTACATGGTGTGGATGGTTTTTGAGTCTGAGATGTGTGGATAGAGCTTTCTGTTTTGTGGAGGGAGAGCAGTGGGACATTTCACTCTCACCAATTAAATCAATCACAGTGTCCATTGAATGTCGAATGTTTGCTAAACTGTGTCTGTCTAATCACAATTTGCCTTTCAAAACCAAAAACACAGGAAGGGTTGGGGCGGGGTTTAGCAAACAGTCAAGTTCTTTGTTACCTCCTGTGTAGATAGGTGTAAGTCAGCAGCTACGCCTGAAATTCACCCTTAAATATCCTATATTGAACATTCATGGAAAGCGCTTAGTCAGCCTCCACAATTGTTCTTGTGTTCTTTTCCAAGATCTTGCATGGCTTCAAGGACCAGGTCGGTGAAGAGAACTGGCAGCAGTTCTCAGAGCAGTTTCCTCCTCTGTTGAAGGAACGCCTGTCTGCCTGCTACGGCGTCTAACCAAACCATCCCCTTGTCCACACAGGACACCAACCTGTTAGGTATGTCCAGCAAACGTCTCTTCGTCACAAATCTACAGTCCTTACCCCTGAGACGCCCTCCCCACTTCTGGAAATGATGAAACTCCCAGCTCATTGATAAGCAATGATACATTTTGTTCCCAAATGATTTCCCTGATCCAGAATCAGACTTTTCACCATCTGTGCATCATCCGTTTGACCCCTGAAACACTCATCGCACCTCTACATTTACCAATTGTTCACCAAAATGTGATTTTAATCTCTTTTCTCTGTTCCTCTGTCTTTTCTCCCAGGTTAATGTACGGGAGGGTTACTGGGGAACTCATTGCACTGCCCAGATTGTGGGGAGAAACGAGAGCTGGAGGGATGTGACTGGCCTTGATCCTCCACTCAGCGGATGGCCCCCTTTCCCCCCGCGCCCTGTGTGTCTCTGTAAGGGAGGGTGGGAGGAGGGTGGTGGGTGTGGGAGGGTAAACTGGGGATATACATATACCTCTCGGATTAAACGCCTCACTAAATCCAACACGCTCAAAAGTGACTGTCACCAACAGCACCGCAGGGATAATAGGTAGGCGAGGGCAAAAAAAGGGGCTGGCTTTGACCTCCCTTCCTCGATTTAATTATTCTGTTAAGATAGGTGACGGCTGGGAGGGGAGGGGGGTGTCAGATAGGATAGGTACATTCTAAAAAAGGAATTATCTGAACCAGCATAGGGTGCCACAGTCCCAAATTCCACAATGCACGTTGTCCGTAGAATGACTCGCACATGTAGATGCGTTTAATCGTGCCAGAGGCTAAAAACATGAGACGCTTTTACTATGTAACAATGCAGGAAATGTGCACAAATTATTTGCACAAATTTTCACCTTTTATGGTGAAATTGCATAAACCAATTGTTGTGCATATACATGGGTCTTATTCTCTTTTCACATGTACATTTAGCTGAATTTAATTTCCTTCCTCTTCCCTTGGTTGCTGAATTCCCCTCGAATCATAGGTTTCTTCCCCCCCCCTCTCATTCGAGGCAAAAAAGATGCAGTAGGTCTGTCCTCAAGCTTTTATCACCGCAGTACCAAGTTATTGCATGACATATATCGCCTCTTATGTGACGCATGTTTTGAGTGAATGTCTTGCTGCTCACTTGATTTATTACATAAATTGTCGTCCGTATGGAGAGGCTGCCATAATTGGAAGCTGTCGGGTGCGTGGTTCTTTTGTCCTCCCACTCATACATGTTGTCTAATCAATGTCCCTATAGTTTAATGGTGGCTGCTTGTGAGACGACCAACTATAGGTAGATTTAATACGGCAATCAGCTCATGTCTGATTGGAGAATCGCCCACTGCAACACGAGTTCAAATACTGTAGGCATATTGAGAATCCTTTTTGCTGCTGCTTCGTTTTTAGAGTATTTACAAAACGGACTTAATGTGAGCGTTAAGACATCACCAAGAATGAATTAGTTCTTACCGATTATAAATGCACTTTCTTTTTGTAAGAAATTTAGAGTTTCAAATGTAAGACATACAGTAATATACTGAGATATAGTTTTCTTTTTGATAAGTGATTTTAGGACTGTTAATGGCTTGCTAAAGTAAGCATAATATTAAGCAATGGTAAAATGACTAGGGTAAGCCTCTTAACATAGTTTGATAATGTAGCTCCTCCTAAAAATGGATTGAATAGGATTTAAGAGGAGGGGGACATCTTAATTACAGTATTTTGGATCCATGTCTCTGCGCACCTGTCAATCCATATCTGTGTTTGAGTGTGTCCCTGTCTATTTCAAAGTTTTCTGTTAAATGATGGCTGCTTGAGCCATCAAGGCTTCTCGACATGGACATTGCATGCTTTTCAAAGAGGCTTGTTCCCTTTTTTTAAGTCGTTTTATAAAAGGTCCTCTTGCAGGGATCTACCTTATAAGAGCTTTGTCAATGGCAATTCAAATCACTGCTGGACTAATAAGGTACTTCTCCAGCTTGTGATCAATCTAGTGATTGTTGTTGCCATATGTTCACCCGTTGATACTGTGTAGGATATGCCTGGGAATATACTGAGTCCTAATAGTTCTCCCCTGACACTGGTTAGCTTATGAGAGAGTGGTGGTCTTTATCCAGCTTTAACTTTTAGTCATTGTCCATAGTGGACGCTTGTAATGAAAGTGTGTATGGCTGTTTGCCTGTTGGTGTTTTTACTATAAAGGTGTGTACGCGAGTAATGCTTAGATGTAACTTTGCACCAGCCCTACAATAAAGTTATGTCTGGGCCATAGTTTGAGTCATGCCTGAGTTGAAGTGGCCACTGGGAAGATCAACATTTGCTTGCCAGTTAACATTGTCAGTTTTATCGTCGGGATGCTCAAATCTCCTGAAACAGACCGTCACAAATGGAAAACACCTAAAAAATTTTCCTGAATATGAACTCACATCAGTACGTTATGCATTTTACAGAATTTTTCTTCCTTTTCCCCACGACCTAGGTGACATAATTATTATTCTTTTTTTTTTGTAGCACAAATGTTGCGCGCGTGCATGTATGAGAGAGAGATGCGTGTTTCGGATACCTGACCACTTCTGTAAGCTGCAGCGCCCCACAGGGTGAATACTGAATGGTATCATCTTGAGGTTTAACTGGTAGGCAAGCATTGAGAACTGAGGTGGCCACTCACTGATCACAGGCCAGAAAGATGTTTTTGGGGAGGCATTCATTGCAATGTTTTTGGGAAGGATGCAGCTCCTGTGCCACAAAGAATTGGTAAAAAAGTTGAGGCTTTACCACTCGCCATGTTGTAATACACTAAGCTATATTCATAAGAAAATTTAAATGCAAGTTGTCCAATTGTGTTTTTTTTTTATTTTTTTTTTATTTTGATGCTCATGTTGTTTTTAATTTATTTATTTTAGTTTGATGGGGTTTTTTTTGTGCTCCAGTGCACAAATTGTTTTGGACTTTAAAAGTTTTTTTTTTTCCCTTTTTTTTAAAAAAAAAAAAAAATTCTTTTTATTTAAAGAATATTTTGTTTTCGTTGTTTTATAGCGGACCATTTGATTATGTCAAATTTGATGTGGTTGGACTGAAGGACAGTCTGTACTTGCATACCTTGGGGAAGAATGTGGGAAAACTCATTCATCACTTTTGTTTCAATCTGATATCAAGGCTGGCAATTGAATTTGATGTACCTATTTTTTTTTTTTTGCTCAACTGTGGTGCAGGTGGGATGTTATCTGATGTATCCCTTTTTTATTTAATTTTTGTGAATAGGGGAAAATAAAATTTTTTTTCTATTAAGCTTTGAGTCGACTGAACATTTTGTTCTGTGTGACCAACAGAAACTAGATCAATTTGGGTGAGACTGGGAAACCATAACAGGTAGCATATTTTGATATTTTATACATGTGATTTGTTATGCACCAAAAATATCAAAGCAAATTCCTTTTGAGTAAACCTTGGCAATAAAAGCAGATTCTGACGTGCGATGGATAATCACGCATGTCCTAATCCACTCTTCAGGTAGGCCTACATCCCGACCCTCGCTTGCTCCTCGGAGCAGAAATGAAAGGAGCCCTGAGCAAAGACGAGACGAAACCCTGATGCTTTGACAACTACCTCACGATAGTATTACCATTTTTCTGAAAATGCAATTGGGACAACAGCGGGGTATCTACAAAGACAGCCCAAAAAATATTCATAGGCATTGACAGTCATTTCCAATAAGAGGAACTGTATGAGATGTCATGCTGTAACAAACACAACTGAGTGGTTATGTGCCCTAATTTTGCGATAACGTAAGTAACTGAAAATCCTGCCTACAGGGTACAGTGCTGATAAACCGCTGAATTGTTGACCATGACATCCTGCAGCACCTGTAAACTTTCAAGAAAAACAATTATGTAATGTCACACATGTATGTCTTTTTTTTTTTGTAATTACACAAGATGAATAAGGTATATACAGGTATATAAATATTTTAATGTTCTTCCCTTCTAACCCTGCAATTAGCCAACATAGTAATATCAGGAGCGCAAGCTGTATTATACACTATTATCCCATACGAACGGTGTGCTGTTCTTACTCTGTATAACACAACAGTGCCGTGGGATGGAAAACGAAAGGTTTATTCTATTGCTTACATTAAACTTCTCACTTATTAATTTCTTTGCTGTCTTTTGGGGAATTTGTTGCTCTCCTTTTGCTACTTGCTATTTTTGTTTCACCTCTGAGTGATGACCACCCCTTTCTCTTGTTTTTGCCCTTAAAGAAAAAAACACTTACTGCCAGTCATAGTTGTTGTGATATCATAACATTTAACAAAATGTGCCAATGTGCACCTAATAAGTGTGTGTGTGTGTGTGTGTCTGTGCTTGCATCATCACAGTAGTCAGACACTGAAGCGTACAGGTCTTAACACTAACATTTAAACCTGGTAAAACAATTAAATCGGGATGGTTGGGTGTGTATGTAAACTTGTATACTAGAACAAACTTAACTGTATACTTAATAAACACTACTACCATGTGCCTAATTAAAGCAAATATTTGTACATCTTGAGGTCTTAATAAAAAAAAAAAGACCTGTGTGTCAATGTGTGCATATTCTTAATCTGAGTCAGACGGTGCTTGAAGTGGACCGGTACGCAGCACCGGCACTTCTACATTTTACTCTTTGGCATACTGGGATTTATGCACCTTTTTCTTCCCTGCCCTCTCCCAACCAAGACAGAGTAGGGAAAAGATGGGGGGCCAATGCACACATATGTGAACAACATTTAAATGGGAGCACAGGTCACTGTATTGACAAATAAATGCTGGTAACCCTGGAGTTTAGGCTTGGTGGACCTAGAGACTGCAGGGTACTCTGTAAAAATATTGACATCAAGAAAGTCCCAAGGCTTACGTATGGGGGATGGCACTTTAAAGTGTTAAAACCAACTTCAGCCCTGTCAGCCATTGTTTAACTAGCAATATTAGCATGGTGGTTTGAAATTACCAGGGGAAAAATGCATGACATGTTGCCTAAGAAACTACGATTTAATTATATATGTCATGCTATTTTATCTGCAATGAAAGTATAGTATAAAAAAATTGACTTTCGTACCTCAAAATCATTTTTTTCTCTCTATATATTCTGAATGTGCCTGTCCACAGCCTTGACAACCCCCATGCCTGATCGGGGAGGAAGTAGGTAAATACTGATATCACACCACTCCTATCTTTTTATTTATTTATTTATTTAAATAATTGGTGGAATTAGTATTGTTACACTATGTCATGTTGAAACCATACCCGGTCTTCCCTACCAGGTGGGTCGAGATGGTTGATTTCTGCACTGAACAAAATTAGAAACGCAACACTTTTGTTTTTGCCCCCATTCATCATGAGCTGAACTCAAAGATCTAAAACCTTCTCTGTGTAGGCCTACACAAAAATCTCTCTTCAGAAATCTGTCAGAGACTTTGTCATTCATTTTGTGTCGAATATTTCATTCGAACATAACTTTATATATTTACGAAAAATAAATATTCTTTTATGAAAAGATTGATATTCATTGTAAAGAAAAGCCTATTTATTTGAACTTCTTTAACTTAGCCTATATGAAAAATGTTACATTCACAAATACAACATTTCAATATAAATCATATGGGCTACGTTGTTAACCTGTGAATGGTGACGTGACAATATCAGTGTAGTTTCTAAATAAAAAAAATCTACATGTTAACCGGCGGGTGTCACAAGGAACGCAAAATGAAAGAAAGGTCCCCATTCGTGCAGCAAAGGGTGTTACACAACAAGCCAGCATCGGTGCTGACTCGGCATTTGAGGGTTTAACATCCCACTATCACTCCGCCCTCATTGGTTTCGGATGACACTCAATGTGACGCATGAACGCGTAAACGGAGTGGAAGTAGCAGTTTCGGTGTCGGAGTGGAAGCGGCGAGGGTCTAGTTTCGGAAAGGCCCAGAATCTCTGTTAGTGAGCACTTCTCCTTTGCCGAGATAATCCATCCCCCTCACATGTGTGGCATATCAAGTTGGTGATCAGACAACACGGGTATTGCATAGGTGTGCCTCAGGCTGGCCAATAAAAGGCCACTCGAAAATCTCGGTTATAACCTGCACAGCACTGAAAAATACAGAGTGCCATGTTAAAAAAATAGATCTTACCCCAAAGGTTGCTGCAGATTTCATGACCTAGCCTATTAAGGAAGTAACCCAGCAGCAATTCTACCCTCAACTGATGATCTGGTAAATCATCTAATTAGCCTACCAAACTCAGGTCAGCTGTTAGCCTTGTCAAACAAAGAAAGGCCAACCCCAAACAATGCCCCCTGGAAAAATGACAAAATGAAAGAAATATTGTTGTGTAGTAAATTACATGTCCCCCAAGATATATTCCAGGAACATCTTGGCATGTACAAGAAGGCAATCAATATAAATATATATATTTTGAAGATTGTTAAAATATGTTTCTGTGGGGCCAGTAAAAGTGACACACTATACCTATTACACTGTATTCAGAGACACATTACATTTGATATTGTCACATGTTAAGTAGGCAGTGTTTGCCATGTATGCTAGCTAACGTATTACTACCTTAAGAGGAGTTTGCGAAATGTCAGATCACCGACATCAGCCAGGTTTGTTTCCTCTTTATTTCTGTGGTAATGTTAAAGAGATTTGGAATTGGACAGATAGATTGGTTGCTGACATGTATTTTTAAAATGATGCTTAAATTTAAATGCACATAAAAATGTTCATGTTATTTTCCACAGACAGACATTCACCATCAACACAATATCCCCAGAGAAACTACAAAGAGTAAAATTATTCTTTCCAAATCATGATAAAATCACCCAAATGGCCCTGATCCCACACAGAGTTGAAAATGGAAATGAAAGGTTAATTTCCCACTCCTGTGGCTTTTTAAATTGCAATTAGTGTCCGTGTATAAATAGTCAATGTTTTTTAGCTCTCACTTGGATGCACTGAGAAGGCTAGATATTGAGGCATGGGAAGCAGAAAAGAACTGCAAGACAAGGTACAAGGAACTCCATAAAGATGGAAAAGAATAATAAAAAGATATCCAAAGCCTTGCAAATACCAATCAGTACTGTTCAGGGATCTCTTGACACCAAGCCAAGGTTCAAAGCTGCACACGGGACTTTCCAGCATGACAATGACCCTAAGGTTCTGGAGTGGCCATCACAGTCTCCTGACCTTAATGTCACTGAGCCACACTGGGGTGATGATCTCAAATGTGCGGTTCATGCAAGAAGACCAAAGACTTGGTCCTGGAGGCATGGGTCAGTTCATTTTTTTCTTTGTTACCATGTTTTGTTTCATGATTGTACCATTCCTTTATGACCTACTGTTGAATGTGAATCTCATGAGAAATAAAAAAACATCTGTTTTGTGTGCTCACTCATGTTTTCTTTACAAATGGTACATACATTACCAATTCTCCAAGGGTTTGCAAACTTTTAAGCACAACTGTACCAAACATGGGCAATTCTCCACACTGCAAACCTACAAATCTGCAACTGCACAGGAGCATTGTAAGGAATAGATTGGGGGCATGTTTACACACTCTTTGGAAAGATCTCTTTTTTTTTTATTATGAATTTTAATTTGTGACCTGAAAATGAGCTAAAGTTTAGTAGTTGTTCAATAATTTAGCATGATCTGGTACAGAACAAATATTTGTCTGAGAAAGAGAGGCATACAGTGCATTTAAATTGAAACAAATGTTGGCTTTGGAGATGCTTAGAAAAGTCTGTCTCATAGCACAGAGACTACAAACCTCTGCTAAGGACATGCAATTATTTAAGTTGATTATTTAAATTAGAAATTGTTTCAAAATGTACATGTTGACCCAGATTTGCATTAAAATACCCACAGGCTTTTGACTAGGAGGTTGAAAAATGTTTAACTAGCCTAACATAACGTTTGCTTTACAGGCTTGTAAAGGACTGCGTAGCCTACTAGCTGCATGCATAATGAGCTGCATAAAGTAGCTGCAAACACATTATATCTTCAAAGATCTATAATACTCACTATACTGAGATCCATGATACAAATTGGATGGAACAGTACAACTTTCACCAAGTGTAGTGAGAGTGAAAACCACTAGTAACTAAACAAACCTTAAATCCAGAAACTATTGACATCTCCCCTGTACAGAATCAAACTTCCCTTACCTCCTGTAATATATAGTTTTTCAAATGATGATTCACATTCTATTAGTTAAGGTTATCATAATAAATGAGTTGCTCATAATAAATAGTTTGTTTAAAGACATTTAATGTAAAAAGTCTAAACAATAGAAAAGCTTCAGTTATATTGATAGATTAGTTCTAAACCGAGGGGATGCTGTTACATGACCAAATTAATCATAATAAGTGAGTACTAGGGTATAGGGTATGGGTATCCATTCTGGATATCTTAAGGTATCAACTGAAAGAGCCCAGTATCTAGTAGTAGGCTATCAAAACCTCTCCAGTCAAACCAGTACGCTACGATACTTTTTAACCAGACCCTGGCAGTATGTCTATTTGTATGGTTTTGAAGCCAAACATGCAAGCAACCTAACCACACCTAAAGAAAGAGAAGGGCAGCTTTTTTTATGTGCCTCCACCATAGCCATGTATAAAAAAAGGCCTGCATGCACCTCATCCATGCATGATTTTACACATTTTACGTCACTGTCTGGTATCATTTAACACTTCTCTGTAAATTTTTATTTGCTTCACATCACTTGTCAATGATCGATCACTGATCACTCAGTTCCATCAAATCACGTAAACACTTTTGTGGTGCAGCAGCGACAGCTAATTTTACTCACGGAGCTTCGGGCTGCAGCTGCAGCTGTTTCAGATGTAGTTGGTGTGATGGGCTGGATGTGCAGACTCTCTTTTTCCTGTGTTTGCTTCTTTAGACTCTTTAGTTAGGTGACTTGTTTAAAAAGACTCCTGACTCGTTTTCTTTTTTTTACTGTCGTCTTTTTGGAGGAGGTTTCCGACTCACCACTACAGCAAAAAGCACTAGCGAAGATCTCTAAATTCAGTTTATTGATCGAAAGTTAAAAAAATAATTATTCGTTGTTAACTTTCAGCAAACGCATCAAAAATTAACTTAAATTTGTTTCCCACAACT